TCGAGTCCTGTGTTCCTGCACTTTTTTTTACAGCAGGAACGCTGTTCCCGCAGGCACTCAGGGGGCGGCAAACAATGTGTTCCCCCGATGGACCACACCCGGCGGGCGGCTGTCTCCCGATCAGACGCGGCGAGGGAGCTGTGTTCTCTCTGCTCCCTCACGCCGGGCGCCGTTTGCTGATGCCGGGAGCCGGAATATGACGTCATATTCCGGCTCCCGTCATCAGTAGACAGCCCGCGCGGCGAGAGGGAGCAGAGAGAACACAGCTCCCTCGCCGCGTCTGACCGGGAGACAGCCGCCTGCCCCACTGGACCCCAGGGACAGGTCCACGCCAGCTCTCCAGGTAGAGAGGCTGGGTGGACATTTTTTCATTTACAAAAAAATAATTTGTGAGTGTAGGTGTGTGTGTGAGTATGTGTGTGTCTGTGAGTGTCTGTGTGTGCACGTGTGTCTGTGAATGTATGTGTGCACGCGTGTATATATATATATATATATATATATATATATACACGTGTGTGTCTGTGCACGCGTATATATATACACACAAGTGTATATTATTTTTTGGGGGGGGGGAGAATCTTGGGTGAGTTCCCACACTTTATTCCCCAGGACTTGACCCCTGGCTATTTATATGGTGACAAGGAGACCCCCGTACCTACAAAATATGGATTATGGGAGCTATCCCAAAGCTGCCATTGAAAATAGCCAAGAAAAGAAAATTACGGTAAATAGGAATAAGGATTCCATTTTTATTTATTTTTTACTGTACTTTTAAGCAATCTCAGAATCCTAAATCCAAATACTGTTCCTACTTGGGCAACAAATTAAAAATAGGTGTTTTATTTTTTTTTAAAAACTCTTATGGTTTTTATAATTAGAGGAGGTTCATCTATCATGTATCCTCTGGGCCCACGGATTCATCTTAGTGTGAATATTAATCCACATAAATAGATTTATCACCGTTCTTTTCCTTACATCCAACAATCCCTTTCAAACAAAATTCAAAAATACTCTATCGGTTGGTAGTCAAGCAATGAATGCGTTAGTCAATTAAAAAATAAAAATGCTGAACAATAACAATAAAGGATCAGGAGAAGTAACTCGAGTAGCTTGAAATCTGTGCTGACAGAAGCATTTCCAATCTGCATCTTTTGGTGTAAATACATCAATCTGAAATGCCAAGAGGTGTTTGGAAATAGGGGAGGGCACATATAAAATTATAAGGATAAATAAATTTTTCACTGTGTCCTCATTGCACATAGATCATCTGTTACATTTAACTTCTATATTTTGCTGCCAAGAATCTATTAAAGGGATCCACATATCTAAACGCTGGCAGAACAACAGCTGTTTGATGAATTGGACAGGAAAATAAAAAGCAAACATATCTCTAGAAAAGACAGGGTTAAAAATTCTCCCCTGTATCTTTAACACTTTAAGTTCCACGTGGTGTGTGCATGAAAAGGCAATGCATTACTCATCCTTGTGGCCATCAAAGGATTACACTTGTATTTTTTATTTTTTTTGTTTCATTGGCTACACAGGAAAAGAAAGGATGGCACACATCACTGCGTGACTGCCCATGATAGATCTCAGAAGCGTCAAATGTGTCTCAGGCAGCTAAATTGTTAAACTGCACACCTACAGGACTGCGTTTCAGAGTGTGAGCAATAGCCAAGAATATACAGCATGCTGAATGCGCCCTTATTATATCCTTATTTAAGAAATGCGTCACTGCACAGTGTGTGTGTCGCTGCATCTATAGGATTTATAACTCTACCTCCTCCACTTTCTTGAAATGTGTCTGGAAACTCTTACATATACGTTGTACATTTGTATGTGTATTTTTACCAAATAAAAATGTCAAAATAAACATTTATAGCTGGTTGATTGTGCGCATCATCTAATTTCTCATTAACACAATGTTAAGAGGAAACGGAGATGGGCACTACTGCCTAAGGGGAAGGATCACAGCATAGTATTGCTGCTTTCGCTGAGCGTGCTTGAGCTCATTAAGGATTCAACAGTGAAACCACTTGCTGGCTACCAAGAGGATCTAGAAAATCTATTTGTAAGGAACAAAGAGGAGGAGGAGATGTATTCTTCCAAAGGCCCACAAGGAAATAGTTCCAGAACATAAATTAGATTAAATAAGGGCTATTTATATGGTGATGAGGAGACCCCCTTACCTACAAATTTGGGGACCATGCAGCCTCTCTCCCTCATACACGCCATGCTGCTGTAGCTACATTGTCAGCCTTCAGATTAAATAACGGACAAATGTCCCCATGAGAACATTTTTAAGGTTAACTCATTCTGTGCCCTTCAAAAAAAATATGGCTTGCTATTTAAAAAGAGAGTGTTCCCTTTTGCAAATATATTTTGGAATATTTAAACACATATCACACATTTATCCCAGTGGGTCTAACAAAGTCAACATAATTAAATAGTGTTAAGCCAATAGAACGCATCATGCACCAGTCACAAAAAAACGGCATGATTAAATGGTGTTATGATGCATCATGAACAAGTCACAAAGAAAGCACGATTATAAAGTACTGCCTGATGGAGCACATCACGCACAAGTCAAAAACAGCATGATTAAATAGAGCTACTTGATGAAACGTGTCTTGCACAAGTCACTATAACAACACAATCTAATAGTGATATTTGATGGAACGCGTCATGCTCAGCCATAAACACATTATTAAATAGTGTTACGATGGAAAGCGTTTTGAACGTCACACAGATAGCACAATTAAACAGTATGGCCGATGGAGCTCAATCATTAATAAAGTTAGTATTGATTTAAGGAAATAATTGTACATGAGTCATTATCATGCATTTTTATGGTGTTACGCCATGGAATACATCGCTGACAATTTATATAGACAGAACAATTCAAAGTATTACTCTTTACACACTTCTACTTTAAGTGGTCATGGTAGTAGCTGTCTGGATGTGCAGTGTTTCAACTTGAAGGGAGAAGCACCTGGCCCCCAATCACATTCGCAATTTATGTTTAAAATCCCCACCCTCAGTCTCTTTGCTGGCCCAGGGTGTATGCATGTGGTCTGAGACACTCAAATGCACCAATCAAAGGCTTCTTTATGAGAAACCTTCGACTGGAACTTGGCGCAGCTCCCGTGACTTCAGACAGGGGTTTGCTGAGCAGCGCCGGTGGATAAAGGTAAGTTAAACTTTATTTTAAAAAGACTCTTTGAGCATTTTGTAGGAGGGGCCTGATAGAATAATGCCAATAGGGCATTATTCTATCATCAGTGAAAAAAAGATTGGAGAATCTCTTTAACTTTAGGATTCCACTAAGTCACGTTGTATGCAGAGTTATTCATAGAATGGGCCTGGACAGATTTCTCTTGGGCTAGATTCTTTTCCACCTCAAATGGTGTCCCAATGGAATGTTGTATTGTAAACAAAAATTTAAGTTACAGGTATGTTTACATTTTTTGGAAAAGAGCAGCATGGGGTCACAATTGTGGTGTTAACTGGCCCTTAAGTTAAAGGGTTACTTTGAATGCTCTACTGGGCATTACTAACCAGATCCCATCCCACCTAAAACATCCAGCAACTTAAGTGTTAAACTTACCTAGAGCCAGCGCCAGGCAAAGCTCCCGGCACTCCTCTCCACGCTTTGTCTGACGGCATCGCCTTCCTTGCGAGGTCCAATACAATGCTACTCAAAGAGGACTAGGGTAAATAGGCATTGGTTGACTAGAGTGGATTTAGAAGATATCCCCCAAGGGCTTATATTTTTTTAGGGGGATTTAGTAGGAGTGGGTGTGAACATGGAACCTTTGTAGTTTTTTTCCTGTTTATCATTGGGTTATGTTGTTCTTCCTTCTATAGTTTTTTCTCTCTCTCTCTCTCTCTCTCTCTCTCTCTCTCTCTCTCTATATATATATATATATATATATATAATGCATATCTTTGGATGACATTTTACACTCAATTCAAATTGTTTTATAGACTTTGTGTGTCAGATTCTTTTTCTATTAGATTATATGGTACAATGTCTGAACCTGTAAGTCAGGATATAGTTTTTCAGCTCAGAATCCACTCTTCAAAACAGTGTTCCCTGGTTAGTAATGCTACTAGGACATTTAGTGATCTTCCTGTGGACAGACAGGACCATATTTGACTCTTATAACTACTGTAGAATGCAGCAAGTATTGGGCAATAAGAACCACTTCTTGTCTTGAATACATGCTTAATTTGGGGTTTTGCAGCACACGCTGTAATATGAAGAAAAGATCAAGGTCATCTGCCTACCTGTGCCAATCCCCAAAATCCATGAACTCTCCTCTCCGATGCTACCTTTCCCATTCCTTCATCCATAAACTCTCCTACAAGGCCGTTCCCTTTAGAAAGTAAAATCAAATCTTAAAGGCAAAAATGTTACATTACCACCCATTTCCATTAAACTAGTAATGCGGCCATTACCTTCTTCACAGCCGTATTCCCCATCCTCCAAGCATCTTAACTGCTGGAGTAAGATATAGCTGCCTGCACAAACATACAAACCACAACCTCTCCTTCCCACACACTCATAGGTGGTGTACTGGCTGAAAGAGGGAGAATTGCATTAGATTGTGCATTTCCCAGCTGCAAATACACATCTCACAGCTTCTCCTGCATGTGGCTGGTGCTTTTGACATCATATTCCCAAACTCTATCTCAGTAGGTCCTGTCATAAACAGAAGTGACAGCTGATGAAGAAGCAGTGACAAGTTTTGTAGCTGCAACATGTACAGAAACTTGTTTCTATCAAAGGCATAAAAAAGAACAATGAGATATATTGTGACCAGCACTTTCACTCCTTGAAGCTACACTATAACCACCTTTAATATACAGTTTTTCTGCGTTAGTTTTCTTATAAGATGCAAGTCATTTTAATATAGTGACTGTAAAAGTCAAAATAAATATATTAATAAACCATTTTGCGCATAGTTTAACATAGTTCAATTAAAAGAGCTACTGGATTTCTTTTTTAAATTTTTTTTTATTAATAATGCAAGACATAATATGGAGACCTCTCTCTGACACACAGACACGTACGTCCTGCAACCTTAAAACTGGAACAAGGACAGACAGAGGGGATATATAAAATATACATATAAAAATACTGCAGTTTTATTTTTAAAATCCATCATTGCAAACTGAATTAGGTCACTGAGATTTCATGGCAGCATCCACTCTTCAAACAACTCCCTCCTTCGTTCTCCCTATGACGCACCCTCCCTTTCCTGTAGTGCCACAGATGCCCAGGGTGTGAGTTTGGTAGATAAGAAGCAGTAACAGGAGGCTGCGATAACTGATGAATCTATACAAGCAGTTAAACATGGTTAAGTAGCCTGTGCCCTTCTCCAGCCCGTTAGACTTTAACTCACAGCATGCTCAGCTAGCCAGAAACACAGCTTGCACATCCCTGAGTTGTATGGATAGCTCAAGATGGATGAACGCAAACTAGAGCAAATGGTCTAATCTGTGCAATCCATTTCAACGTTTACCTAGCTTTCACCGCTTAGTCCATGTCAGTTCAGAATGTGAGTAGGGGCAAATACACAAAAAAAATGAAATTTTTAAACCATTTCAATGACCTCATCACAGCATTGCTGCTTTAACCTTCATCAGCTTAATAAAGAGACAACACAGGTAAATAATAATAAAAGCCAGTTGGGATATATTCATGATTGTCCCTTGTCACAGTTGTGATGATGTATGTCAGTGCTGCATAATTTCCCTTTTCGGTCACTGAGACTAGCCCATGTTAAGCATGTCCTTGGGGAAACTGCGGTTGTCTGCATCACACTGGTGACGTCTTACAATTCTTCAAAGAAGGCCACTCTGCACTGTGTGCTCTGCAGTGTGAGCTGAAAGGAAGGAGGAAAAAAATGAAAGGGTAAGACAATGATAGAGAAAAAGATCCATAATAACTCAGTGGTGTCATATTGTAAGACATTCCTCTCAGCAGGACACGTAAACATTTTAATGGTAAATTAGCACTACAAATTACATCCGCTCTTAAAAAGGAATCTTACCATCTTTTGTGATATCGGCTGAATAAGCATCAGCCACTGAAATGGTAGCAGCTTCTAATCATGCCCACTCTCTTTTTTTTGACAGAGAGGGGAATTTACAATAACTTGTTTTAATCACCGTGTTGGTCAGAGATAGCATGTGCATTCTCACCGAGCTAGTGTGAAAGATCATTTAAAAAAAAATAAAAAAAATTGAGAGGATTATTCACTAAAGTGAGAATTCAAAGTGAATTCAAATTTTAAGGTCAAAATAGCCAAACTGGAAAACATGTCTAAGTCCGCAATGCTGTCACTGCTGCTACTCTGGCCCTAAATCCGAAATTCACATTTTTACTTCAGCAAGTATTCATGTAAAACAAACGCCACATTATTGTAAAGTGATTCTGTGTGTACATGAGCATTTAAAAACAAATCATGGAAACATAGAATTAACAAAGAGGCAGCGATACATACAGATGATTGGAATGACTTGCTCGGTTGATTTTGGCCTTTTGTCAGACTTACACACTCTTGGAAACTTACCAAGAATAAGCATTCCAAAACAGTGTAAAGCCACCTTCTTTAAAATCGCCCGGTATATATGGAAATTTGCCAAGCTTCACCTGTAGTTTATGGGTTTACTTTGTAATTAGCAGGACTTAAATCAAAACAACTATTTAGAAGGGTATACTTTAGCTTTGGGACAAAATAAACTCCTATTGTCCGTGTACAAAACCATGATTTGGTAAGGTTAGAACACAAAATGGTACAAAGATGCCTCAGACATAACTACTTATTGGGGTTTTACTTGCAATATTATTAGATAACTCAAGAAGTGCCATAGAAGCATCTTTGAAGTTGCCTGGACAGTTGCCCAGATCTTATATTCAACAGCTGGCACCCAAAGAAATGGCATTTGAATGCTTAATATGTAAATTGGTAAATAGTTTAACTAAAACACTGTCAGCAAAGCTTTAAAATCACTATACGTGCCCAGGGCCAGTTCAGGGGTTTTCAACACTACCACCTCTTTCATTAAAATTATATCTTGTCCGTTCTTTCACACATTGCCAGTTTCAAACTGGTGCACTACTCAACTGCCTAATTTGCCAGAGCTCCTGAGACTGATAATGTAAATATTAACGGTCTTAAACAAGGCTAAATACAGCCTAAGAGCCAGGTAACCATGTTCCAGTCACATAACTTTAACATCAAATTACATATTTTATACAAAACTGCACATACTGCCTTCTCCTATTAGGCAGCAGCAACACTGCTGTTGTAGCTCAACTCCTTTTACACCCCTCTCCCTTTATTTATTTATTTATTTTAGTTAGGGTTTTTTGTTGTTGCAGAGTCCCTCTGCAGTACAAACAGCAGTCAGAGTGAGATGCAAAATTGTATCCATAAAGAGTCAGAATTACAACTCCAATTAAGCTTTACTACACTATAGAATGGCAAATCATCATGAAAGTTTAAGTAAAACATGTGGCTCTATGTTTAGTACATTCCTGCCTTAGACTCAGGACATTAAAGGGATACAAAGCTGTATTCCTAGCACTATGGCTCCCTCTGTCTCACCCCTCACTCGCTCCCCCACACTGACATGAATAAAGTGTTAAAAACCCTTAATTTACTTACCTTTCTAGGCGATGGGTTTCAGCTTCACCTCCTCCAACATCCTGCGACATGCGGGCGCTAATGCGCATGCGCAGCAAATGCATCAGGCACATTAGACCTCCCTATGGGAAAGCATTAAATCAATGCTTTCCTATGGGGAAAAAATATGACGCACAGCATCAGTTAACGGACCAAAAGTCCATTAGGATCCAGAAAGCATCTCCAGAGGCTGTCTGGTAGTCAGCCACAGGAGGCAGACTTAGTGCTGCAATGTAAACATTGCAGTTTCTCTGTAATTGCAATGTTTTATATTGCAGCACAAAGTGCAATAGGGAGACTGCACCCAGACTACTTCAATGAGCTGAAGTGGTTTAAGTGTCTATATTGTCCCCTTAACTTAAAAGCCTAAAATTCTAGGGAGAAAAGCACCAACTGTGGTAGTCAAACAGTCCTAAGAGAATATCAGAGCATATTTTAACTTTAATTACATCATGCAAAGCAATGTTTCTTCAGGTGCCAACAATTAATTTAATTAATTCTGATCACTTGCACATTCTCTAAGAACTCAACTTACAAACTTAAGCAATAATCATGAGGCTCAAGTATCAACCAACGCAGAATATGAAGTCAGTGAAGTCTGCCTGACCTTGCCTTATGCTGACTCACCCTGATAATCTCATTCATTCTACGAATCTTCCAACTGACCTTGTTAATATGATCAATTATCTCAAGAATTTGCTCATTCACCCCATTAAATCTGTTCATTGACTCCCAAAATCTATTCCTCAGTCCAGAGAAACCACTTATTCAGCCTAATTTGTCCATTAACCTAGATCTATCTACCCCCTTTCACCTTCCAATAACCCCCGAGACCTAGGAATCTGCCCATATAGCTAGTTAAATCTGCTCATTCACCCTAAGAATACAGTTATTCACATCAAGAAAATCACAATTAACCCTGAACTGCGCATTCATCCAGACCTTCTTATATATCCCAAGAAGCTGCTTACAGGCCATGAAAGTTTAAGGGACACTAGGCACCAAAAAACCTGTAGCTCGCTGAAGCAGTTTTAGTGTATATATCATGCCCATACAGTCAATTCTCTTAGGAGTTAAATCACTTTGTTTATGGGGCCCTAGTTACACCTCCCTGCATGTGACTTGCACAGTTTTCCTAAACACTTTCTAACGTTAGGTAAAAAGTGTGTTTAACAATGTAGTGTGACTATCCACTGACTTCAGGTGGAAGGGGTTTTCAATCACTTTTTTTCTCCGCCATAACTTGATTTGTACTCCGCAAGTAACGCCAGTGCTCAATAGCAAGTCCGTAACCAACTTCATGTTGATGAAATGCATTAACAACTAAACAGCTCAGCGAAATCGCTGCTACCTGCACTCTGTAAACAGGAAGGGATTCCCACCAGGGAGCAATGGCTGCATAGTGTGGAGAAGATTTAGGCGTCAGAAGCTTTAAGGGCATCTCTACTTGGTGCAGGCTCTAGACACACTGAGCAAGGGCAACTCTGGTTTGACCAGAGTCTGACCAGGACGGGGAGAAACTGGTGGACCTAACAGTTGGGGTGGGGCCTGCACCCGCGGGTGGTCCTCTTTACCCTTAACTTCACCTCTATAAAGTATTTCCCCAAAAATAAGACCAAGTCTTATATTAATTTTTGCCCCCCAAAAATGCACTAGGGCTCATTTTCAGTGGATGTCCTAATTTGTCAGGGAAAAACTGTAGCAATTATGTGCAAGAAAGTAGGTCTACGTTTGGGGGAATTTCCCTGAACATAGACCAGTTCACTAGGGCATGGAATCCCACAAATCTATGTTTGAGGAAACTTCTGTTAGTAGCTTGCTAGACCCTGCAGGAGCTTCCTGTATGTAAATAAAGTTCAATTTACAGAGCAGGAGTTACAAATGTCAAATATAAGTTAACATCTTATTGAAAATGAAACCATTTTGTTTTCATGCAGGCTGTGTCAGTTGCAGCCAGGGAAAGTGTGGCTTTAAGTTAGCAGTAATGTAAACAAAGTCTCCTTTCATTTTTAAACAATCCTTTTCATGGACACTGCGAGTTGAATGAAAGTTCTCCACTCCCAAAACATTCCTGTTTTCACCTATAACATCATTGGTTGACAAATCCCATAATTTTCTGCTAGCCTCAGACTATGCTGTACAGAGAGAGAATTCACACAAGATGAATGTAGACATCCCAAACCTCCCAGAAGTTCCGGGACTCTCCTGCATTTTAATAGCGGCTCCCTGTCAGATTTGGTGTGATTTCCTAGATATTGTATATAATTTGCGGGCCACCGGATGGGCATCGCTGGTCCAAACCCTGTAGTATCTGCTGTCTAGGAGACAGTGACAAACAATCACTTCAAGCCAGCTTCATATGACAGTGCCGCGTGGAAGGGAAACAGGATGCGGCGGCACCACAGACAGCATGGGGAGAAGCAGGAGTGAGCTGCTGCAGACCCTCACGCTCACTCCCCTCAGCCAGCATCACCAGGACCCCACACAAGCCACCCTCCTGGACACAAATGGTCCTTACTTAAAAGGAGGGTGACTGCAAATATAAAAATTATAACATGTATGTGTTTCTGTATCTGTGTGTCAGTGTGTATCTGAGTGTGTGTATGTGCCAGTACGTGTATCTGTATGTCTGGGTGTGTGTATGTGTCAGTGTGTGTATATGCAACCAGGTGCGCATGTGTCAGTGTGTTAATAGTGTGTGTAAATAGTTGCAATATGTTCAGTGGCGTATGAATTTTGTAATTTCACATTAATTGTTATGTGTGTATAAAAATGTTTTCTTGTTACTGTGGTGTTAGCTTGATAAAGACCTGGGTACAGGTCAAAACGTTGCAGATCCAATAAAAACTGCCTTGAACATATCACAGTGAGTGCCTGAGATTTTTCCATTTATGTAAATTGTATGGGGTTTGCATACCCATACTCCGTGCACCCTGTGTTAATTTTTGTGATTGAGTGCAAACCTTTTTTCTTAATAAAATGTAATGTTCTTGTCCATAAACGTTTTGTGGCTGTGTGTGTGTGTGGAAATACAATTTTATCAAAATAAAAGTGCTTATTGAATACGATTTAGATTTTTGAGGAAAATCACCCAATACCTCCTTTATTGAAATCAGTATTCTAAAGCCAGGACTATTTTTTACCTTCCCTGTTTCTGAGTGCTACCCTAGGATGTTGCGCTGGGTTACAGCCGAGAAAAGGAAACAAAGAATCAGATTTGCAAAGATATAGCCATGGATGGAGCCTGGATCTTTACAAAACCACTACAGTTGGCAGAAAAAGTGTTTTATTAAATCACTTGCAATTGATATAAATTTCTAGCGATAATGCCTTTGTTACATTACAGGAACCTGCACACTTTTTTAGTTAATGTATTTGAATGCTTACAGTAATTCAGATAATGCTATCTATAGCGCTGGTCCTTTCCTAAGCTTTAAAAGAGACATCTTTTTTTATTCAAGATTTTCTTCACTTTGAGGGTAATTTACTGTTCTATCCCTCTCTGTTAACAATTTCATAGAATTTAGCTTCCCTTTAGTTACAGCATCCATTATTTAGTGTTGTGCGCAAGTCTCTTCATAATTGAAAATAGTTCTATGCCGTTTCCAATCAATTTGCTGAGTAATTCACAAAGTTCTACATTTTTGATAGGCCCACAGAGTTCCCAGACTATTGTTGCTGTCCACAGCTGAATTCATATGGGTAATGCAGAAGTATGATTTCTGCCTCCTCTATTTAGCTGTAGTGAGACTGGGTTATGGGTGCAAGAAACAAAATGATTTTATAAAAACCTGATAAAACAGCGCTCATAGACTCCGCACCATAACCACTATAATAAGCTGATGTACTCTTGGAGCTTAGCATACTCCTTGAAGGTTGATCTCACATTCCCAATCACAAATATTGCTAAATGGAGTTCTCTCACATTTGGTCTTGCATAGGTTATGGGGCAAAGTGGTCTCATATCACGGTCTCTCATCATACAGCGTCTTATAAAACTGAACCCCACTTTTCAGATGTCAAAGGAGATAGTTTCACAAATTTGTTTACCATTCCAAATAGGTGTATAAGGAGTGTGAGTCCCTAACTCCTGGTGAGCCATGGCTGTGCAGTTGGTAGCTCAGGAGAATACTGTAAACAGCCGAAGTAACATGCCTACTATCTTCTTCAGTGATTCCACTCATCAAATCTAATGAGTAGAACTGCAGCTTAGGGTTCTATTTACAAAACCCATAAAATTGTTGGACGGGGTTTATAGGAAACACTTAAACACCACAGACCAGTGTAAGAGGCTTCTTATTGCCGTTTGCCTTTGGATTAGCAGCAGCTTGTTTTTTTGACACTTTATTTTATATTGTTTGGTATATTTTGTTTGAATGCATTATTCGTAAATTATTATATTAAAATTGTGGAGTTACATTCAGCTTGAAATACCCCTTTAAAGCTGCCCTATTCTTTCAGACATGGTGAGAGATTAATACTGCTTTCACATAAACAAACCATGTTGATCACCATTATTGTTTATTGCTGCTCCCCTCTGTCCAATCACGGATTCTCCTTTGCACAGCATAACTATTAACTCAATCTATTTGAAATAATTGTTTATTTTTACAGATACACCGACATTTTGTGGTTAATCAGAAAATGAATGTATTTCCCCATAGATTATTAAGAGAAGAGTCTGGCTTTTCTAATCATTAGTGTATTTGGTGAGGAAAAAGGAATACAAATGTATGTTAGTGGTTAATTCCTTTGCTGATAGCTCCCTTTAGAAGGAAGTAGTGAAAAATAAATAATAGAATCCTTTTAATCAGGGGGCTTCCCTGTCTCTCCTCACGCCTCCCTCCTCTTATCACATACAAGGTGTTCCATTTTCTAGGGGAAGCCATCCACCTCACATCACTTTTAATTGGATGCGAGAGCCAAGCTGGTCGGCAGAGAGAATGGGGGCAGCCAGAGGCGCCCCTGGGGAATCCCTCCTCCCTCCTTTCCCTGCTCCTTTTGCAGAGTGCAGCAGAGCGGAAACTTAACAGAGTTTTTAGCTCGTGCTCCAGCTGCCTATAATAAGCGCACAGAATTCACAGTACTTTTCTAGCGCATATGGTTTCCGCGTATTGTAGACTCAAAAAATAAATAAAATGGATTTTGACTGTGTTAACATAAATATTTATTTTGTCTTTGCCTCTTTCAGTCAAACACACATACAAGCTGTAACATGTTAAAGCTGTATAGGTAGAGGACTAATGTTGCTTACTTTTAATCAAATACATATAATAGTGCAAATATGTGTTTAAGCTGTGTAGCTACAGTCCTCATTCCAAGGGTGACAGAACCGATTGAAATTGACCCTGAAAATTAGTTTGTATACACCAATTAGCCCCTCTCTAAACAATATTTGTGACGTCATGCTCACAAACCACTAGTCGCATGAAAAGCTGCAATTATTGTGGTACACTATGTACCATATCTATTTATAAACACACTGAGCCCTCAATCAGGTGTAAGTTCAAATGACTTTTTACAAGAGTGCATAGCTTTATTCTATGATCAGAGGGTGGCACTAAGTGAGAAGTCACTCAATGCTTGCCCTACCACACATTCAGTGAGGTGAATTATTATCCTGCCATATAACAAATTGTAGTGTGGTAGACAGAAAAAAAAAAAACTGTGTTCAATACGTTAAAGGGATACTCCAAGTACCATAATAATTATTATGCAGTTACATAGAGATCGTGCCTTCATCAATCTCATTGCTCAATTCTCTGATGTTTAAGAGTTAAATAACTTTTGTTTCTGTTTATGCAGCCCTAGACACACCTCTCCTGGCTGTGACTCATAGAGCCAACAAAGAAAAAGGTTACATTTTTAATCACATCTTAAAGCACAGTGTGTTCACTGTAGAAATTTTTATCCCCTATCCTACTGAACTAACACATACACATGAGGATGCCCAAATCCGATTCCTTGGCTGACATCATCAAAAGTGATATATGTTTTGTGATCGGCTGAGATCATCATTTGTGATGTCAGCCAAGGAGGCAGAGCCAGACCCGCGCAACGCTGGAAATAAGGTCAGCCCTAGCTACACTTCTTCTGGCTGAGACCCTTTTCTCTGAAAAGCTAGTGTTTACAGCAAAAGGCCTGAAGGGACATGGTATAGACACCAGAATAACTACATCACTAATAACCAGTGATGGCAAAGACCAGCATGCCTTTAAAGTACCAGCAGGGCTAGATCCCTGCAAGTACCAAGGAGTCCCAGCCATGACTTGATAGCGGAGGTCATAATTACTGCAGGATGAGTTATGATTACCTTTTGAAATGGCGCTGGTTTTAGGGTTGGTATTGAAGAGACACAAATAAAATTGATAAAAAGCGCTGTTTACTAGATATAACACAATGAAAATATGCCTACATGCAATTACGCCTTTTTCTTCATTGTGCAGTATATCTGAAAATGGCTTGCAAATGCTGCATATCTCTTGTATGCAGCCTTTGCAAGTCCTCTTTTTACCCCAGCCAGACTTTCAGTGGCTGTCCAATCACAGACTTCCCAGTGCTCAATGCGAAGTCTTTGCAAGGCAGGTTCTACGGACAATTGCTGCCTCTCGAGTTTAGTTTCACTAAGCTAAGCAAATAGGAAAGTAACAGGACCAGCTGTTTGATTGACAGCCAGGGGGTGTAGCAAGGTTCATTTATAAAAAGTGAAAATTTCTATTAAAATCTGCACTTTTAGTAAAATACAAAAGCGAGGATATACTCTTCACATATAGAAAGAGGATATATTTTAGGGGTCTAATCTGTCCCTTGAGCAAATATTGCAGTTAGCATGTTAATCTCCCATGTTAAAATTAGTGTAGGACCCACTGGTATTGGGGTGACACTGCTGTAAAGACCAAAATATATACAAAGTACAGATCAGAGAAAAGTGCGCGTGCGCGCAAACACACAGTAAGTATTGCAGTTCGCATGTTAATGCATCACCTCTGAAGAGGCACCTGTAGTGAACGGGTGGGGTGCTCAACCCAATAAGAATCTAGTCTGGATTCCAAATCCACACATAAAGTGGTGTTTGGTGCACACAGCAACCATGAATTTCTAAGTAGCAGTGCTGTCGTAAAGAACAAAATATAGATACAAAACAAAGATTAGGGAACAGAGCAAAAAATAAACTATTTAAAATTTTACAATGCTGCTTAAAATCACACCTAAAATATGGGGATCCACATGGTCGTATTTTGTTACTGCCACAATTGCCACCACTACGTCAAAGTACCCCAGTACCGGTGGGTCCTACACTAATTTTAACATGGGAGATGAACATGCTAACTGCAATATTTACTGCTTCAACTGCTTCCAGAGACTCTCCTCAATTTATGCTAATTCTTATTGGGCTAGGCATCCTACCCATCCACTACAGGTTTCCTTTTGGAGGGGACCACGGGAAAGCATAGATTGAGGTTTAAAACAAAGATATAGGAAATTATTTAAAAAGAATGAACCAAAATGATTAAATATAAAAATGTGTTTAAGAGGAGAAAGGCATCTATATCTATTGACACTTTTGGATCTATTTATTTTACACTAAATAAAAGAAGAATGAATTTTATTGGCGGGTAGGACAGTATCAGGTTTTGAGAAAAAGAATGGATTATGAGGATCCATTTTACAATTCAGTCAGAAATGACAAATTGGTAGGATAAGTTCTATGCTGCAGGGAGGGTTTAGGAAATAGGAAGATTTAGGCAGTACTGTCAAAAGCTGTAAGAAGCGCTTAGATAGAAAAAGATATAGGGATGCATGTCAGCTACAGGAGGTTTACGAGAGGGAGAGACACTGAGAACATTTACAGTGCCACAGGGAAGGTTTAGCAAGATAGAGATGCGGGATTTAGAAAGGACAATGTTTCAACATCTCCAGAGATAAGAGAGAAATGCAAGGGACAGTTCAAATGCATTCAGGAAAGTGAATATTTGCACTGATAAATTAATACTTTTTATTTTACATTATTATACTGACAGATGTATGACCTCTTCTTGGTTAAAGCAAGGAGAGATGACAAGCCCTTGTATAGTTATACGGAGACATTTTAAGATATTTGGGGAATAGTTATGTGCCGAACGGTTCGCCACAGACTCATCATTGAGTAAACTTTGACCCTGTATCTCACAGTCAGCAGACACATTCCAGCCAATCAGCAGCAGACCCTCCCTCCCAGACCCTCCCACCTCCTGGACAGCTCACTAAGAATGCAGCTTCACAATGAATGTAAAATGGATGCTGTCCAGGAGGTGGGAGGGTCTGGGAGGGAGGGTCTGCTGCTGATTGGCTGGAATGTGTCTGCTGACTGTGAGGTACAGTGTCAAAGTTTACTCAATGATGAGTCCGCGGCGAACCGTTCGGGACATCACTATTGGGGAACCTTTAAAAGATGAGATAGGTGTCATTCTTAAAATAAAGATTCTGGAATGGAGGCAGATCATTAATGGGTATAGTGCTGCTTAGAAGAAAAGTATTGAGAGCAAAAAAATAAATAAAAATTATTAGTATATCTCTATGCTAACATTTTCCTTTCGTTTTTCTGTTATTGTTATCAGCATTTTGTTGTGTTATGTGTGATTAAAGTAGTAATAATTATTCTGATTGGTCATACATTACATTATAAACCCAAACAATAGCAGCCTTGTTAATTCTGATACACTCAGTCAGGTTTACAGTTTGCTTTAAAAGTTGCCTTTAAGTCTGCAAGTCATAGATGAACATTACTCTAACAGTTTGAGCTGTTTGATACATAGCCACTGAAGTTAACAAAAGCAACTACATTCTAGAAGTGACACAACAAGAGTGGAGCCAGAGTTAGGTTTATTCAGCAGAAACTCAACAAAGAAAAAATAAGTAATCTACAGTAATATATTTCACCATTAGCATTAATATGTATCTTTTAGAATAGCTCGCTCGGGAACAATTAATCCATTTTCAAACAATTGATTCCTCCATTATAAATAGCTTTATTGGTATGAGTTATTTACAGTCACAACCATAACATCTTAAAAGACATAGGTCTCAACTTAATACTGTGGCATAAGATTTTCAAATGATTTAATATTTTTAGATATGTTATATTTATTTCAAATATTAAGATATAAATAAATATAACATATCTAAAAAAAGTATACATAAATATATAAAAAAATATAAACGTTCGTAAAATATTTTTCAAAACATTAAATCATTCTAAAAGCTAATGAAAAAATAAAAAATAATCTAAAAAAAAAACCAAACAAACAAAAAGAAAACACCCCCATCTCCTCCAACTACAATGTGTGGGGGCAACCTAATGCACATGATTGGCGAGTGCAATGCACATTAGGACTTCCCCACAGAAAAGCATTAAATCATTGCTTTCCTATGGGGATTTTGAAGACGGACATCCTCATGCAAAGCGTTCACAGCAGGGAGCACCTCTAGTGACTGTCTGATAGATAGCCACTAGAGGCAGTCTTAACACTGCAATGCAGTTTATCTAAAACAGGGTTAAGGGGACAAGGACACTGCACACAGACCATTTCAACGAAATGAAGGGGTCTGGGTGCCTATAGAACCAAACATTTAATGTAGAACAAAAATAGAAGTTTTTGCAGATACTATATAGTAACACTAAAACACTAAAATAGGCTTTCTTATATTTGCATGAAACCCAGTAATTAATTTGGGTTTTTGGACAAATTAAGAGTATTAATATTAAGCGGTTATTTTTCCATAAGCTTTAAAAAAAATGTTTTAAAAATGCAGCAAAGTTGTTCTGGTGCCTAGACGGAACCCTAGTAACAGAGCCACAATGATCACCTAAAGAATTTTCTACACCTGTTTTAGTCTACATCTAGTTTTAAGAGCGAAAACTAATTTGTCATATCCCTTCCTCTCAAATTCTTGCCAAAGGATAAAAGTTTAAAAAAAGATGTGTTCCTAAAAAGAAAAACAAATTATGAATGTAGAGCATACCTCACTGGCATAGAAAGGGACTGTAATCTAACTGGGCGTCAGGGTATCTCCACTATTTGGCCTCCGGCTGCACCAATTTACTTGATAACTGCAGCTACAAGTGCCCACTCAGTGTATGCTACTGTGCATCTAAAACATGACCATATTTTCTCGTTGACCTACATTTTTTTGAACTGGGAAAAAAAATAGCTAAAATAACATTTTGGCAGAGTCAAGGGACACAAAAACCCCCCACTTTATTAAATAAATAAGTTACTCTATTTTCTCTTATGTATGCTTATTGTGTGCTGATTTTATAATTATGTTAGGACTGATACTGCAAGCCTACTTTATGCTAGTTACGGAAATCTGAAAAATCACATAACTCAGTCTCTCTACTAGCAAGGTGCATACATGGTCAATCGTGCATTTTCTTGTCTGCAGAACACTGCAAAACAAAGTTTATCTCATAAAACCCCACTTGCCTTTTTTGGGGGGAGGGGGAAGGGGGGTGGGGGAAATACAACACTGGTTTCATTATGCAGAAAGACAAATTTCTGTGTTGTGCCTTAATTTTGTGTCTCTTCAATTCCACTGTAGACTGGTATACATTTATAGTTTATTATTTTACTACCCATTTTTTTTAATCACTTTTATTGTTTTAAATAAAGTACTTTAAATAAGTATCCTGCCCTTTGGATTTCTGTTTTTATTCTGACCTGGCTCCTTGGCTATCCATCAAATCCATAGGTGGGGATCATTCCACCCAAGTGCTCCATACCAGAGCAGGTTCACACTCTGGAAATTGTAAGAATACTTACCTGTATAATATGTTCATTTTATAATTGGACTACACCATTGGTTCTCCTATCTGCGCTTCCCTCCACATATATTACGGACTGCTGCTCAAGATATCCGACATCATATCCTTGGACTGGCATTGTTCCGTCTTGGCGTGCAATATTAGAGCTAACTGAAGCTCTGGAAAGTGTGAGTGTTCTATTGGCATTGCCTTTATATCTACTGCATTTCTTACAGTATTACACTATTGTACATTTCTTTGTTAAAGATAAGTCTCACAATTATCCTCCTCTGTTGATTGTATGTATATTCCTTTTTAATTATTAAGCGCGGCTCACTATTTGTTTGTATTTATCTGCTTGTTATTCACAGGGTGTGGGAGCTCTTTGTAGGTGGACTGCTGCTATTTGTGATAAGAGAACACTATACACATTATTATTTGTACTTTCTGTGGTATATAATACTGATGTCTGTTTTAAAGGGACACTATAGTCAGAGAACCAATACAGCTTAATTTAGTTGTTCTAGTGTCTCAAGCAAGTCTCTGCAGGCTTTCTTCAATGTAAACACTGTATTTTCAGAGAAAAATTAGTGTTTACATTGCTGGCTAGTTAAACCTCTAGTGGCAGTCACTAAGACGGCCCTGGAGGTGCTTCCTGGTTCAGTGCTGCACAATGTGCAGAATTGGCATTCAGTGTCTCCACGTCTTGCATGGAAGTGCTAAACATTCCCTATAGAGATGCACTCATTAAATGCATCTCTATGAGGAGATGCTGATTGGTGCAGTGTGGAGTTATGCAGTGCAATGCTCAATGGCCTCCCAATGCTCTCCTATGGGAAAGCATTGGATTGGCTGATATCATCGGGTTTCATGATCACAGCCATGGAGGCAGAGCCACATGCAATGAGGGAAAAAAGGTGAGTTTGAACACCTTTTTACAGTCATTTGAAAAGGGCCGGGGACATAAAGTTAGTTTAACACTATAGTGTCAAAAATAAATGTTTGTGTTCCTGATGTTTAACTGTACTTACTGTAATTGGCATTTTTATTAAGTTCCTTTCCTAGAAATACCATCATGATCCCTTTTTTATTTTTAGTTTACCTAGTGTAGGTGAAAATTTGGTTTAATTAATATTCTATGATAATATTTTGGACCATATGACATACAAAATAAATGTCTAGATATATTTTTTTTAATAGATTTCATAAAAATATAGAACGAATAACCGTTTTAAGCTAAGTGCCAGCTATACATCCCATGTTTCATATATATTTTTTAATGACAACTTAGTAGCAAAGAGGTAAACGATAAATAGGAAACATCTTATGAAGCCTTTCACTGAAATATAAAAAGTCTTACTTTTGTGCTTCAATATTCCACATTCAATTAGGTCTTGTAATTGTTTTAAAACTTAAATGTGTAGCTTTTTCTAGTTTGAGTAAAAGCTTTCCATTTGTCCTTTAAATAGTAGGAGAAAGGGATAGAGCAATTATTTCTTGTTCTTGGTAATGATGCAGCCTTAGGCAGAAAGAATGATACAATAATCAATAGTTTAACCAATGCATATGAATAAATGTTTTGCTATAAAAGAGTGTTCTCCCACTTGCCTGGAAGATACAATGCCAAAAAGAAAAATGTAAATGTAAAAAGTGAAAGAGTAAATGGAAAGAACCGTTCTGTAATATTTACACCCAAGGAGAAAAAGGGATCAATAAAGGGTGTATCAGAATGCACTGCAGCTAGAAATACGTTCTTAAAATGTGCAATGACAGGGACTTGCTTCTGGAGAAATACAGTGAAAGCTTACATTAAAAACTTAAGATTACTTGAGGTAATGCTGAATCATACTTGCCAACTGTCCTGATGTTCACAGCAAGTCACAGTTTTTGGCCTCCTGTCTTGTTATTTAAAATGACCTTGTACTCCGTACATGTTTTAAACATGTATTCCTTGTCCATCAGTGAGTGTATTTCCTCCTCTTGCTTAAAGAGGATATTTTACATGGAGCTTGTGATGTGAAAGTGTGTGGTGGCTTTGTATAAGTAGAGAGGCTGTCACTGCTGTATCTGTAGATTATGGCAACATGGAATGTGTTTGTGCCTGCTTCGTGTATTTTTGCTGTGTAGTGTCTGAAGCTAGCTATGTGTGATAGTCATGTATAATGTTTTGTGCCTGATTTGTGTTTTTTTGCTGTGTTGCGTCTGTAGCTAGCCATGTGTGAGTGGATGGCTGTAATATGTGGCTGTGTGTGATGCACGTGACTATGTTTGAAGTGGCTGGCCATGTGATGAGGCTGTGTGGGGGTACCTGTGAGTGATGTTTGTGGCTGTGTTGTGTCCTTCCACCCCAGACATTATGATAATGGTTTTAAAATAAATAAATATGGATTTGTCCCACTCCTGCTTATGGTAAGGCAGGTGGCCTATGATCTTAATTCTCAAGTGGTGCAAGGAGGACCGTGATCATGGTCCAGTGTGGGGTCTGTGACCATGGTGGAAAAGTGGGCAGAGCTTGTGTTTTGCAGGTCTGACAAGTGTAGATCACTGTAAAAGCTCCTTCCTGTCCATGACCATGAGGGAGCACACACAGTGATAAATATCTAGACCACATGCTGCCTCATAGCACTGGATGCACACAGCGCCAGTCAGAGAGATGTGTGTCTGGGCATGCCTGTGCATATGTGGTCTGAGCATGTAATTGTATGTATGTGTTTCTGGGAGTGTAAATGTATGAGTATGTCTGAGGAAGTAATTGTAAGAGTGTGTGTTTCTCTGTTTGAGTGATAAATACCCTATGTATCCCTCAGTATGCTTCATTAACACACACACACACACACACACCATTACATTTACACAAATACAGGGTTATTTACTAAAATGAGAATTGTAGCGGACCTCCCTGGGCAACAATTTTCGGCTCAAATAGGCTACAGGCTGCTCCCCCCAGTCTTCTCCGACCTGGCTTAAGACTGCCCCCAGTCCAAACATTGAAGGATCTGTGTGTACAATGAAACGTTTGTTAGGATCGGGGGCAGCGAGAACAGGTGCATTTATAAGAGCTTGCTTCAATGCTTGAAAGGCTGCCTCGCACTCCGGGGACCACAGGACCTGTCGGGGTAAGTTCTTTTTTGTCAAGTCCGTCAGGGGTTTGGCCAGGGCGCTATAGTCAGGGACAAAGCGTCTGTAGTAGCAGGTTGTCCCTAAGAAAGCCATAACTTGCGTCTTGGTACGGGGGGTGGGCCAGTTGGCAACAGCCTCAATCTTAGCGGGCTCCGGCCGTTGTTTTCCGCATCCTACCCGGTGGCCCAAGTACTGAACCTCCGCCATACCAATGTGACACTTGTCAGGCTTCAATGTCAAGCCGGCTGCCCGGATTCTATCCAGTACCGCCCCTACATGTTCTAAGTGGGCCTCCCAGGTTTTACAAAAAATTGCTATGTTGTCCAGGTATGCGCACGCATAATCCTGGAGACCATTTAGGAGGCGATCTACCATCCGTTGGAAAGTGGCTGGGGCATTCTTCATCCCGAACGGCATAACTCGGAACTGGTATAAGCCGAACGGGGTGACGAAGGCCGATTTCAGAATGGTGTCCTCGGCTAGGGGAATTTGCCAGTAGCCCTTACATAAGTCTATTGTTGTCAGATATTTCCCCCTAGCCATCCGGTCCAACGGTTCGTCTACCCGGGGCATCTGGTAGGCATCTGTGACAGTCTTATCGTTGAGTCGTCGGTAGTCTACGCAGAAGCGGGTCGTGCCGTCCCGCTTCGGCACTAGCACTACCGGCGAATCCCAAGGACTTTCGGAATGCTCAATGACCCCTAAGCGTAGCATTTCATTTATTACCCTCCGCATCCCTTCCCAGACTGCCTCAGGGATGCTGTAGGGGGGCTGAGGACGGCCAGTCTCGTGTACCCAGGCACCCGAGAGAACATAGCCTGTTTGGCTTCCAGAAGGGCGATCGCCTGGGCCCGTTCCTGTGGTCCCAGCCGTTCCCCCAACTGTACCAACTCTATAGCCCGTACCCTCTGGTCGCCCTCCAATAGATCCGGCAGGGGTAGGGTGTCTAAATCCTCGGATGGTGGCGCACACACGACCGCCACCTCCTCTTCTCTACCCTTGTATTCCTTCAGCATGTTGATGTGGAATGTGCGCTTTACATTCTCATTATCACAGCTGGCTACTGTATAAGTAGTGTCATACTTCCCCAATAATTTTGTAGGGTCCCTGCCAGGCAGCCTGTAGTTTGTCCCATCGGACTGGTTTAAGTACCATAACTCTCTGTTCTACCTGAAAACTACGGTGCCTGGTCCTCCGGTCGTACCATATCCGCTGGCGCCGCTGAGCCGATTGGAGGTTTTCACGCACCATCTGGGTCAACGCCTCCATACGGTCCATCAGTTCCAGCACATATGGCACCACCGGGGTCCCTGCTGACTCTGTGGCTCCCTCCCAACGCTCCCTAATCAGGTCTAAGGGTCCCCTCACTCGCCTCCTGTATAACAACTCAAAGGGGGAGAACCCCGTTGATTCCTGCGGGACCTCTCGGTAAGCAAAAAGGAGGTGCGGCAGGAATCGCTCCCAGTCCCTGCAAGCGGCCATGAACGTCTTCAGCATCTGCTTCAGAGTTCCAATGAACCGCTTGCATAGACCGTTTGTCTGGGGATGGTACGGGGAGATAGTCAGGAGTTTTATCCTGCACACCTTCTACAACTGCTGGATCACAGCGGCAGTGAACTGGGTACCCTGGTCTGATAGGATTTCCTGGGGAAATCCGACTCTTGAGAACACCTTGACCAGGGCATCCGCCACTGTCTCTGCCTCAATGTTAGACAGTGTTACCTGAGCGACTGGGATGAGTTAGGGGTCCTAGTAAGTCTACAGCGACTCGACTAAAGGTTTCTTCAATTATGGGCATTGGAACCATCTTAGCTTTAGGGTGGTCACCCTTCTTACCCACCCGCTGGCATACTTCACACGTTTGGCAATACCGTCGGACATCGTTAGAGATTCCCGGCCAGAAGAAGTTTTGGGTTACTCGGTACGCCGTCCGTCTAATCCCTAAATGTCCAGCTAATGGAATATTGTGCCCAATCCTCATCAGCTCCTGCCTGTATTTCTGGGGTACCACTAGCTGACGTTTTTGCCTTGGCCCCGGGGCTTTGGTTCGGGAATCTGTAAATCTATACAACCGGCCTCCCTCCCACATATACTGTTCTCCATCCAGTCCCCCTGGGTCAGAGATGGCCTTTTCCCGGTATCTTAGCAAAGTGGGGTCTCCCGCTACCTCTTTCCCAAAATCTTCAGGGGTGTCCCAGGGTAGGGCTCTACCATGAGGGTCGGGGAAGCATGTCTTACCTGGGTCTCCGGAGTTTGAGAGTGGCTTTCTGCAGCGCGGCTCTGAGCTTGAATAGTCACAGCATGAACCTCATGGTTAGGTGTAGGTATATAGGTGGAAGTAAGTGGACCTAAGTCCTTTCCGAGGATCACATCTGCAGGCAAATCCTTCATGACCCCCACTTTCACAGTTCCAAACCCCACACCCCAATCCAAATGAACTTGGGCGGTGGGAATCCTGTAGACGGCTCCCCCTGCTACCCGTATAGCGATGGATTTGCCGGGTGGCTCGTGGTTGTTGAGCAAGTATCTCTGTACTAGGGTGGTGGAGGCTCCTGTATCTCGTAGGCCTTGCACCGTCTTGCCATTAACCATCACTAGTTGTCGGTGGTGTTGTCGATTATCTCCGCTGGCGGCCTGCACCGGGTTGGCCTCATGAAGGAACCCCAATGGCCCCTCCCTGGTTAACTCCCGGGCCTCCCACGTAGAGGACACTGGGTAGTCGATGGTGTGTACTGCTGGTCGGGAGCTGGTACCGGTTGGACGATTTCACGTAGATTGGGTAGGTTCCATTGGGCAATCCCTGTGGTAGTGTCACACTTGCTTGCACCGGAAACATCTTGGTCCCGTAGTCTGGGGAGGTCGACTAACGGCTGCTGGGGATCGCTGTGGTGGTGGATAGTTGCCCACTGAGAGTGGTGCTGGTGGCTCAACCCGTGCTGTCTGAGGTCTGAGGGACGGTCGTTCCGGCTTGCGGGCATCCATATATTCATCTGCAAGCTGGGCTGCTTCTTGCAGGGTGAGGGGGTTATGATCCCTCACCCATTCCTTTACATCCGTTTGTAGCAGCGAGAAAAACTGTTCAAGCAGCACCAGCTGTAATAATTCCTCCAGGGTGGTAGCCTGGCATCCATTCACCCAGTGGGTGGCTGCCCGATGCAGCCTGCAAGCCCACTTCGTGTATGAATCGGTTGCTGTCTTCCTGGACTCCCAGAATTTTTGCCGGTATGCCTCTGGGGTCACTGCGTACCGGGCTAGGAGGGCTTCCTTCACCCGCTCATAGCTGCTTATGTCCTGATCAGGAATGGCCAGAGAGCTTTCCAGACAAAATTGGGAACGGGTTACCTTCTGGTATCTTGTGTAGGGCACATTGTCTCTCAAAGTCCAAATAGCCATCAATCTCGTCTGTAGCTTCCTCAAATGCTTTGAATGCGCTGAAGGGAATTTTGCACGGTTCGAGGTTAAAGAGGGAACTTTTGACTATAAACCTGATTTTCAATAGGGGTTGAATAATTTTTATTACAGCTGTAATTGCACTTAAACTTGATGGCTCATGTGCACAGCACAGTGGAAAAGTTACAATTGAGGGTCTTTGCAAAATATGCAAAAAATCCCAGAAGGAGACAAAGCCACTTAAATGAGCTAAATCTCTCATCAGAGGGCCCACAAACTGTTCAATGAATCCAGAAACAGATCCAGTCACTACTGAGCACACAAACATGCATTACTAGCTTGATTTACCTCAGGGTACATTCAGGGGTTAAAAGGTTTTGCAACGGTTTAACCCCAAAGTTGTAATAGTACAATTACTCTCAATGCGCAGCAAGTGATAGAGTGAGAGCATCAGTGAGCTCTCTCAGCAACAGTGCAGGAGCTCCTACTTCAGGGTTAAACTGCTGCAAAATGGTTTAACCTCTGATGGTAAGGCACTTTGAACAGTCCTTCTCTGTAACAACTGCAATGAGTTGAAATGGTTATGGGCATGAGAGATGGGCATGAGAGACTTCCTTTAAAGCACGGCTGTCATTTTCTGCAATCTTAGCATATTTTGCAAGGACCCCTCATGTGGGCACTTCATCTGCAAGGAGCTTACTTTCAGAGCTGTATGCTTGCACATGTACTAGAGTACAACACTGAGGTCTATAGAGGATTCCACGAGACACAGGAGCCTCCACAGACAATGCCTTTTCCCTCCACCATCACGAGTGACGACTGGGGGATTTAACAAAACGTGATGGCAGTAGCTCTGCCTTTTGTCAAGTGCAGAAAAAATGCACAAGACAAAGTAATCCCTTTTCAGTGAAATCCCAGCACAGTTAATGTGATTCTTTTATAATAAAGAGAGAAACGTAACACACTGTAATTCTGTAGACTCCTTACACAGGCTGTAGTATAAGGCACTCTTATACCTCCAGGCCTTTGCTTTGTGCTGGACATGCTCATATGTGGACTCTTTTTCTTCCCATTTGGGTTTTATTCCCTGGTGTTCTGGCCTGCCAACTCACTCCTAAATTCACACTTCAAATAGTTTGGAGGTATGAACTCATGCTTCTTTCATTCTGTTGATCTCTCAATAGAATGAAAAAGGAACCATAACCACTACAGCCCACAGTAATAGTTATAATGCTAAGAATGCCCTGGCATCATTCCAAAGTAAGAATTCATACTATTTTAGCATGGTTTGCCAATACTGGGGTTCCACAAGGCACCTGCGCTGTATCTGGTCTCCTCCAGCAGATTTGCTCTAAAGTGGCATCTGGCAACCGGCAGGACACAGGTAAGCTTTCAATCTGTGCTAAATAAGTCTGATATATTACTGTGGGACAGCAGCAGGGTACTCCTGGAATCATAACCCTAACAGTGGTCTAGTTCTGATATTTGGAGTATTTTTTTAATTATCCTACATCTAAAGCATTAAAGCTTGCTTAAGACAAGTCGTCACTTTTATGAATGAATTCAGAAACATCCCTCTGACAGTCAAGTGAACAGAAAGGTGCAAGTAGAGTTATAAACTGGTTGAGAATTTCAGCCGACTGCTTTCAATCACTGCCACCCATTGCTACTCAGGCTAATACTTCTTTATTAGCCCAAGCAGCTCAGTGGGGTATACTGCAGAAAACTCATTTTGCTATTAAAACATTAAAAACAGTTTAAACTTAAACAGAAAGATAGCACCAGTGTACTATAGACACTATAACCACTTCAAGGAACTTACAGTGCCTAGAATGTCCCTTTTATGCTATACATTTAACCATGATTTTAACAATGCTGCAGGCTTTCTTAAAGAAATCCTACTTATCAATTTGCATAGATGACTTCTATATAATAACATATATGGAACCTATGTGCGTGCAAAGATATGGAAATCATCTGATATGACAATGAACCAAAGTGAGTAAGTTATTTCCATTCCTTTTAACTGTAGTATATGTCTTTACCAATCACAAAACGTGTCACAGTCAATAAATGCTACGGTTTCTAAAATGGTTGTGACCAGCAAAATCCGGATCCTTTTTTTTTTTTGAGAAATCTACATGATGATTTTTTAATTGAAGAATTGTATGCATCATCATGTATAACTTTAAAATAGCTCTCAGTATCTACCCCAAGGTTTCTGTCATGTATCACACGTTGAACAAGCATTCTTTTGAGGCTGCGTGAATAATTTCTCTGAAATTTCATAAGATCTTGTCAACTGTGAACCAGGAATGATTCCTGTCTAAGAACTAGAGAACAAAATTTGCTGAAGATCCAGTCAGGTTAGAAGGCTCCTGAGACGTCTCTTAGTGCCCAAGTTGACATTTATGTCGGTATGCTACATTATCAAGATAGCTGTTCCAGAGAATAACTGCAGCTGCAACGAGCTTGCTACAGCAGCCATCATGTGGGTTTATGAATATTCTTGAAAAGGTTTCTCTAAAATTTTAAATAGAACTAACCAGAGTGAAAGATGCAGAATAATAGAGGAAGATGCATATATTTTATTATACCATAAACATGTATTTCTGTCCTGTTTGGTTTCCAGCACTGATGTAAGATCTGTTGCACAGAATACTATTAAACTGGCAACCAAAAACTAATTAGATAAGAGAACCTTAGTTTTGGCACCTTTGTTTAAAAGAGCTATGTGACACCCTTGTGTAAAAATTAACCAATAACCGTCTACTCTAGCTATAGCAGCAATGTCTATAACCATCAAAACTAAATGGAGAGCAGACTTAAAGAAACAGTACAGCATTACGGATACAAATCTGTATACCTGATGCTATACTGTACTTTACTCGTTTCCAGCCACCATGCCCACTTTCATGCTACAAAATAAAATTTTAAAAATTATGTTTTTCTTACCTTTTTCCAGAGCCAAGCCCGCTGCACACCTCACCATTTCCAACAAGATCACAGAAGAGGCATGGCCTCAGAGAGGTAACCTCATACAGGAGCATTGGGGACCTAATGTGCATGTTCATTCACACCTTCAAACTTCTCCACAGGAAAGCACTGAATCTGCAGGAAACGCAATGTTTTCTTTGCAGGGTTAACCTGCCTCTAATGGCTGTCAATGACAGCAACTAGAGGTGCTTCCGTAAAATAATGGAGTAAAACTGCATGGCACCGAGAGGCATTTTGCACACTGCTTACCTATTGGGAAACATTGGATTGGCTGAGATCATCAATCTCGATGATCTCAGACAAGGAGGTGGGACCAAACCGTGACAGAATAGCATGGTGTGGGAAACAAGGCAAGTTAACTTATAAATGGTGACTAAGGCACTATAGCATTAGGAACGCACATTTGTATTCCTAACGTTATAGTGTTTCTTCACAAGGACAGGGACAATGCATCTAGAACCCTTCATTGATATTAAGTTGACTGAGTGACTATAGTGTCTCTTCAACTATTGTTGTTGATTTTTTCCCCACTGTGTTTTTCAGGTTTGGATTTTGATAAGCTTTCTTGATTCAGCTTACCCTAGAAAAGACACTCCAGGCACCAATACAATTTAAGCATATTTTGCCTTTTCTCTGAAAAGGCAGTGGTTACACTGAAAAGTATGCAGGGACAGGCTAAAGACACCAGAACCACTACATTAAGCTGTCCCTTTAAGAATTGTATTTTTGTCGATGAATATAAAGCTTTGTAAGTTTTAAAAAGTCTGGCTCCTAACTTTTTAGCTGGCTGCTAGATTCAAAGCAAATTTGTCAAGCCCTGTTTTAAGATATACAAGGTAAAGGGATTCACTACATATACTCTGTATAAACTAAACCCCAAGCTTGGGTTGTTCTATTCAACCCCTGATTAACATGGCTGACTATATTGTCAAAAGAATGGGGGGTGGGGGGGAGGAGGGGAGCAAAATATTGGCTTCCAAAGAATAGAATATTACTCTCACCTCCATTATGAATTGTATACTCATGAAATTCAGTAAGGGTTAAGAAAGGTGATGTTGCAGATAGAACTTGCAGTGTTGCACGAAGCAGATGTAGATCAGATATAGACAAAGTCAAACTATGAGGGCACTGTAATGATTCAGGAAGACATGCATGGAGCAAGTGGAGGGTTTCATGTAGGTTGCAAAGCAAGAAGGTAATTCAAAGCTTATAACACAGTTTAGAAATATAGTGAGCAAGCAGTATTGATTAAGGAGGTGAGGTGGGTTTACAGACATATGGGAGTGTTATGGTGGGGCACAGTGATTCAGCAAGCAGAGTTACACATACACATTAGAACACTACTAATTTTGGAAGTACTGTTACTCTAAAAGACTCAAGGAACAGTCAGAGTTGGACACAAAGAAAGCAAAATGCAGGCATATGGTGTTGAATTTATCATCTAATTGGACACATGCTTTTGGAGAATTTCACTGGATGCTGCTCCACTCATATACACAAAGGAGTTAGTTTTTAACATAGGGAGTTAGTATGTTTTTCATATTTATTACACGCACACACACATACACAATACCTGGCACACACTATGGGTCACGCTCAGATGCAGACTGCTCTCCTCCCCTAACAGGAAAAAAGAAAAATTCCACAATATGTGAACACAGTCACTACGGAGGGATGAGTGCAGCATGTCACACACAGGTTGGGTCTTAATAATCCCAATCTCATTTCCTTGATCCATGGATCTGGTAATTTACGGTCGGCTAAGGGGAGTGTAGAACCACATCACACCACATGACTTAGTATGTGTCTAAATAATTACGTACTGTGATTTGTTTCTTTACGGTTGCCACCTCACTGAATAATAGCTATCTTGAGTAAAATTATTTTCTATTGGAAGGTCTAAATAAGATTTGTATGCATACATTTCCATAGTTGACCCATGTTACATCCATTTTTTTTCCTTATTTATTTTGAGGCAAAATTTTCACATATGTCTTACTCATATCTAATCTCCCTTCAACCCCCAAATAGATTATCGCACTGCATTCTCTCTTATGTCTGTGTTAGGACCCAGGAATCTTTGGGGATTATGTTTTAAATGTTTTGTGGTCCAAAGTCCTAAACGTGGGACAGCCAACAGGTAAGCCAGCAGGCATGTTGCAGTGATGACTCCGTCATTTTCATAACATACACTTTTTATACTCAACCCCCGAAGTTTATCGTCAGTTCTATTTCCATGTGCACATTCTCTCCATTCTCATTAGTAGACCTTGCCTGTCATTCACTCAGGATGCACCCGCTCCCTAGCTTACTCAGCATCTCACCTTTTTGATAGTGTTTTGCTTGCTGCCTGCATTTTCATGCATTATATCCATGGCAGTCTCCCTCTCCTTCAGTTTTAGAGATTCAATTTCAGTCTTCAGCTCATTCAGCTGCTCTTGCAGGTGGCGGCTCTTCTCCATATACTCGACCCTACAAGACAGCAGGGTGACATGTATCAGAGTACTCACATTTCGCATGACACATACAAGCCTATAAAATATCATATAAACTGGGATGCATGAAAAAAAATTGCCTTCTTGACAGACATTTCACATGTAATGTATAAGTTTACATGAGAACAAGTTTCTTAATTGATTTATATATTATTATTATTATTACTATTAAGATATTTATATAGCGCCATCAAATTCCGCAGCACTTTACAATGGGTGGACGAACAGACATGTAGTTGTAACCAGACAAGTTGGACACACAGGAACAGAGGGGTTGAGGGCCCTGCTCAATGAGCTTACATGCTAAAGGGAGTGGGGTAAAATGACACAAAAAGGTAAGGATAGTATTAGACTAGTGACAGTTGCAGAAGAGGAATCAGTCAGGAGCTATTAACAGTTTAATTGATACGCTTTTATGAAGAAGTGGGTTTTTAACGATTTTTTTGAAGGAGTGGAGACTGGGTGAGCATCTAATGGAGGAGGGAAGCGAGTTCCACAGGAACGGTGCAGCCCTCGAGAAATCTTGAAGGCGAGCATCAGAGGTGGGAGTACGGACAGAAGATAGACGTAAGTCTTCAGCAGATCGTAAGGGCCTAGACGGGACATACTTGTGTATAAGGGAGGATAGATGGGTGGGAGCAGCATTATGTAGAGATTTGAAAGCAAGAACCAGAATTTTAAATTAAGCTCTATATTTTATGGGAAGCCAATGTAGGGACTGACAGAAGGGTGAGGCATGGGAGGTGCGGGCGGACAGGAAGATGAGCCTCGCTGCCGCATTCATTATGGACTGTAACGGCGCAAGTTGGGAGCACGTAAGACCACTGAGAAGCGGATTACAGTAGTCAAGGCGAGAAAGGACAGTGGAATGGACCAACACCTTAGTCGCATCTGGCGTTAAGTAGGGGCGGATGCGACTATGGTGTTGATATAAAACTGAACATCTATAGCTTTAAACATCAACACACTTAACATGCATACAACCGTAATTAAAGATTGCGCAGGCAAATGTAATAAAAAAACGACCATCTTGGATAATAATGAGCACATATGGAGGGGTACAAGTTTGTTGGACAGTTGTATTTACCAGCTCACAGGAAAAGACATTATAGAATTGGAAAGAGTACAAAACATCGCACTAAAATTAATAAAGAGAACAGAGGAATTAAATTATGAATCAAAGCCAGGAAAATGGGTTTTGTTTACTCTGGAACAGAGCCTTGTAAGTGGTCTGATTATAAAGTCCAAGAACATTCAAGGACAATATAAAAATGTCCTCATCAGAATTTTTCACCCCTTACTCCTGAGAAAACATTATAAGGATTGTGAAAGGATGTTTCCCTTCAGACGCAAGAATGACAGCAGCAAAGATAATGAGAATGCCACCAGCAGTACTGTTGATGGCAGATATACAGGATAGTATTAGTAAGCCAAGAGTCACTTATTTATCCTCAAAAGAATAAATACAGAAAGACTTTTGATTCAGTTAACTTGGAATGCACAATTGATTATTGATTCAATGCTCCCTCCCCCGTTGCTTTCCTCGAAAAGCTAAATAGATTTAACTAGACACAAGATGGACGTGGATTTATTTTTTTAAACCTAACAATGTTTCTACCTATGTAATTACAGCAAAACAAATGAAGTGTGTCATGTCAAAGAATGGTAAAATATTAGTACAAAATTGTTGTAATTATTTATTTTGAGAATATACCTTACGCGTGTCTAGGTTACAAAAAGAAGAAAAAAAAGAAATGTAATAATAAATAAAATATGTTGTTTGGCAAATTTTCACTTATACTGATCTAGGGCAGTAGTATGCAACCTATGGAACTCCAATTGTTTGCAAACTACAATGTCCATTATTCTCTAGCAGCGCCAACATGCATTTAGTAGGCTACCAATACATTTTAAGGATAGAGCTGCAATCTCTGGAACTTGTAGAGATGACCACATATGTCACAGAGGCAAATTTGCCCTCCATCTGACTCAAACATACACACACAGATAGCAAGCCTTACTTCTCCTTCTCGATTTCCATAGACAGACGTTTCATATCTGTGTCCTTGAAATCATAGGGCAGGCTATCGCTGAGCATACTGAAGCTTGGCAAGTCGACAGGAGGCACAGAGCTGCTAGTGGTTGCTGCTGCTTGCTGCGGAGGTAAAATGTTATGTTTTGAGACATCACATGTAAAGTGACAAGTTGTTGTTTTTTTTGTTTCTTATTTTATATTCCCATGGTGTTTTATTAACATGTAGCATACCTAACATTACCAAAAAGCATGGGAGCCTATTAGATAGACTAGGGTCTAAGCAACAGAAAATATAAACATTCAGGTATTTATACAATTTCTCTGATGAACTCCATGCAAAGCCCTGAAAATTATGTGCCTGGGTCAAACTTGTGTTATTATTTATTCATCCATGGCTTTGCAGTTATTTGCCATTAAAGGAACACTATAGTCACCTAAATTACTTTAGCTAAATAAAGAAGTTTTAGTGTATAGATCATTCCCATGCTATTCCACTGCTCAATTCACTGTCATTTAGGAGTTAAATCACTTTGTTTCTGTTTATGCAGCCCTAGCCACACCTTCCCTGGCTATGATTGACAGAGCCTGCATGAAAAACAAAACTGGTTTCACTTTCAAACAGATGTAATTTACCTTAAATAATTGTATCTCAATCTCTAACTTGAACTTTAATCACATACAGTAGGCTCTTGCAGGGTCTAGCAAGCTATTAACATAGCAGGGGATAAGAAAATCTTAATTAAACAGAAGTTGCAATAAAGGAAGCCTAAATAGGGCTCTCTTTACAGGAAATGTTTATGGAAGGTTGTGCAAGTCACATGCAGGGAGGTGTGACTAGGGTTCATAAACAAAGGGATTTAACTCCTAAATGGCAGAGGATTGAGCAGTGAGGTTGCAGGGGCATGTTCTATACACCAAAACTGATACATTAAGCTAAAGATGTTCAGGCGACTATAGTGTCCCTTTAAAGTGATACTTATAGGTATCAAAAATAACTTTTGCTTAATGTATCCGTTTTAGAGTCTCTGCAGTCTCACTGTTCAATTCTCTACATTTAGAAGTTAAATTACTTTTGTTTCGGTTTATGCAGCCTTAGCAACACCTCTCCTGGCTGTGATTCACACAGTCTGCATGAAAAAAAAAAAGGTTTCAATTTCAATCAGATGTTAACTTGCTTTAGAAGTTTTTATCCCTTGCTCTGTAAATTGATCTTTAATTGCACACAGGGGGCTTCTGCAGGGTTTAGAAGGCTATTAACAGATCAGGAGATAAGAAATTTTACATTAAACAGACTGTGCAATAAAGGTAGTTTAATCTTTAGATCTCTCTTTACAGGAAGTGTTTATAGAGACTGTGTAAGTCAAATGCATGGACTGCTGTGATTTAATTACTAAATGGCAGTAAATTCAGCAGTGAAACTACAGGGGCATGATCTATACACCAAAACTGCTTCATTAAGCTACAGTTGTTTTGGTGCCTATAGTGTTCCTTTACCGGCCCTATAAATTACATTGATAGGGGTAATTTTTTTATTTTTTTTTAAATCTCGTTTTTATTGAAAGTTTTAGTACAGGTTTAACAAGTCCGTAAGGGAAAATATAGGTTACACAATAGAATTAAAGAAATGCTTACAAAACAAGGCTTATATCCTGGCCCAGTAGTGGCCAGTTAAAACGTGTGCATACAGCTTAGTGCTTAGTGCTTATCATCATTAGAATCATAACTTCAATTGTTCCAAACCATACAGTATGCGAATGGGTTTCGCCAAAGTACCCAAGTTCGCATCAGTTTTTTTAATGCCATGTGTTTGGTAGACCAGATAGAAGTATGCTACCAGTAGCCTGTGAGGTACGGTCCCTCTACCCTACCTATCTCTCCTTTTGTTACCACCTCTAGCTTGGGCAGTCTCGTTGTCTCCTGTGGCCACGGAGAACGATCAAGAGACCAAAGGCATATGGTACAGTCACGCGGTGCTAGCTTTGGTATTTTGTTTAATGACATTATAAGAAATATGTCCGTATTTTCGAAACCCTTATGAGGATACCCTCTGCGATTTGTGTTGACAAGAGGGTAGCGTGGGCAACTCGTGTGTGGGCAACTCTGACGTGTGTCGGGATCCGCCACGTCCCCGAGTGGCACCACGGGGAGCTATCTGCTTCTGCCATGGGATGTCAGGACCCAGGGAGACATGTTAATAAGTGGAGCCTGCCCGGTTCTCCCCCTAGTCCACCCCGGCCTCAGCCTCTCCGTAACCCAGCAAAGCAGCCTATGGCCCCCTGTGTATTTGGCCCCCACACGCTCCCTTAATCCGTCCGTTCTCCCTGCCCACAGTGGGCCTGTGATGTTGTGATGTGGCGGGGCTGTGCAGAAAAAAGGGGCGCTCCGCTGCGGCTAGTATTACCTGCCTTATGGGGCCGTCTGGCATAGAGGCAAAGGGTATATGTTAGGATAGCCTAGTGGGGGGTGGGGAGGCAAGAGTGAGGGCAAGCTGTCGAAGAAGGCATAGTGGACACAACAGTGGAGGGTAGGGTGCGCAGCCCCAGCGTTACCTTCCCACAGCCACCCACCCAGTCCGCCTTCCACCGCCCAGATGATACTGTCCTCAAGTGTGGTGAGATTAGTTTCGGGAGCATAAGTATAGTACCCACGTCCTCCAGATTTCTTCATGCTTGGTCAGCCTTGGTGGGGGTATTTTCTGTAATAACCTTCCATAGAAATTTACAACAGAACCAAAAACAGAGGGTCCCATTATTTTAATTTAGGTACAATTCTGAATAATTATTGGGGTGAATGTTTTGAAAAATAACTTTATAACATTTGAAATTTCTAATTCAAAAGGTGATACCCAATGATTATAAAAAGCCACAATAAAATTGTATTTGTGAAGTGTATTCAGTGCATATGTCAACAGACTATGCTAATCAGACAGTTTGTTTCAGACTGTGCTGTGCAGGTAGCTTTGACTCACAGATCACATTATTGTGCTTTAATGAAAAACCCACACTATTACACCTTCTCACCGTATAAGTGGTTTTGCTTGTAATCTCTAGGAGTTTTTGTTTAGCTCTGCGTTCTGACTCCCGGGCTTCTTGCAAGTCTTGCTTTAATTGCTCGGCTTCCTTTGCTCTAGGAAAAGGGCATAAACAGAAGATTATTGAATAAGAAAAAATTAATTTAAAAAACTAAGAAAAAGGATCCTAAGATCTTGTCTCGTATTTTGGAACTAAGTGTTCCCAAGCTTTATAGTGTTCACAATAAAACTGTAAGCTTCAGAATTTAACCTGCTCTGCTATCATCATAGTAGCAAACACAAGTGATCTGCATTCTAATTTTACAAACAATCTTGCTAATTGTAGCTGATTTTACTTTGCTACTTCAATTATTACAGACTATAGATAGGTAAACATCATGGAAAATTATGTTTTTACAAGCTGCAGTGCGATCGTATCAGTTTCGTGCCAACAAATGAACCTTTTCTGATTTAAAGTACAGAGCTCTACGCTGATGACTGCACACAGTGTATATAAGAACTTGGATGGATGAGATTTCCTTGTTACGATGTTGCGAATTAAGACGGTGGTCTTAATGTATGTTTGGTTTTTTTCTCAAATCAAAATGGTTTGACATAATAAATAACAGTAGCTGCACACAAACCGCGTTCATCACTAGAGTTCAAACTTAAAGGGACACTATGGTCACCAGAACAACTACACTGGTAAGTAGAATCATTCCCTTCAGGCTTTTGGCTCTAAACACTTTTTTCAGAGAAAGCAATGTTTACATTACAGCCTAGTGATAACTTCACTGGCCACTCCTTAGTTGGCTGCTAGAGGTGCTTCCTGGTGCAGTGCTGCAGAGTAAGCAGCAGTGTCATTCAGTGTCTCCACCCTCTGCATGCAGACACTCAACTTTATTTATAGAGATGCATTGATTCAATTCCTCTCTGTGAGGAGATGCTGATTTGTCAGGGCTGTGTTTGGCTTGTGCTCATTTAAATTTCATTGTGACTATAGCAGAGCTGGCTTTTTCAAAATCAGCAATATTACAATATTAGCTTCAGTTTTGCATCGCGGATGTAATTCACTAAAATTATAATCCTAAAAACAGATCAGAACTGGAATTCCAACGTTTAGCTATGTACTTTGATTCAACTCCAGTTCAAGGTCTTTCTCCTCAATCTTCAATGAAGTGTAACTTTTATTTGTCAACAGTGGATAAATGGACACTTCAGTCTTACCAAGGTTGCACTGTAAGACATTCTAAGCTTCAATTGTTTCAAAACATCACCCATCATCGTTAAAGAGATGTATGGCCTCTACAAAAAGGAGGATGTGGACCTTCATTTATTTATTGTCTAACCATGATGGAAACCTTTTCCACACATCAATCATTACTCTTTGTGAGATAAATATTACATAATTCCATTTATGGACTAACATCAGTACATTTTATGTTTTATTTAATTTATTTTTGTTATCAGTAGCTGAAAATTGTGCATATATCATTTACATCCATCCACCCATCTAAAGCCTGCAAATCGGAAATAGATAGGGAAGTGGAAGAGGTGGGTATAAGCAAGAGGGTTAAGAAATGCCCCGTTGAAGAAGCAAGTCTTTACATTCTGTCCTTATCCGTAGTGCTCTGTTTGTCGAGCAAGATCTAGAGTGGAAATGTGACTAATATCATAAAGCATAGATGGACAAAATAAATCTAATATTGACACATATGGTGGTTCGGATGAAAAATACTTGCAATGATTGATGTTACTCTGTCTAAATAAGTCTCTGAAGCAGTTTGTCCTGGAGTAAGATTAATGTCAGTATTGTTGGTGGAAACACTAACCTTTACAGACGCATGATAATACTCCCGCCCATTTCAAGAAGGGGAAAAAAGAAAATCTGCAAAATTCTCTCCTACAACAGACAGACTGTCAAAACCGAAAAAGATTTTGACAAGGGAAGCCCTATAACTCAACTCTTACATGTATGGTTAGGCGAAGAGACAAAAACTAAAAAAATGTTACATATGCCAACAGCATGAAAACCTGTTCATGTTGGAAAAGGCATCTCTGAATAATAAAGTAGGAATTCACATGTGTAGTTACACTTGTCACAAACGACCATGATGATGAAGGTTTAAATATAGTTTACTGTTCTCATTTAATTGACATTTCTAGCACAAATGCTAAAAATCCATGTATTTTGATTATTACAAAAACAGAAGGAAAATAAAATTTATTAAATTAAAATAAAGAAAAAAGAATCAATTGCGCCTGGTCTCACCCTGATCCTATATATTCACTAAAGGGACTCCATTACTACCACCCGACAGTTGACACAACCCTTAAAATGTGGCACAGACTCAGACAAACTCAGACCTCTCTCCAGTTCCATCACCGCTATACCCAATTACGCACAATCCCCACTTCCAACAAGGGGACTCGGGCAAATCGTTCGAGCTATATCACAATAGCACGACACTACGATTGCGCAATGTCATCCAGGACGGTAAAGTTAAAACTCTGGCCCAAATCTTACCGACTGACACTCCGACAGTAATACAATAATTACATTACCACCAACTGAAACACTTCATCAAGACTCACAACCTATTACCCATGGGGGACAGGCCCCTGACAAAATTTGAGCAAATGTGTTCCTCCCATCCGTTCTCTAGGAAAGTTTTATCTACCATGTATATACTAATTAGGGAGTCACAAGCAACTAATCTTCCAGGATATACAACTAAGTGGTCAGATGAACTCAAAGTAGATTTCACGCACCCACAATGGCAATCCATCCTTAAAGCGGCACATAACACCACCATCTCGCTAACAGCGCAAGAGAGTAATTTTAAACGTTTAGCACGTTGGCACTTTACACCAGCAAAAACCCGCACGATCCACAACACGTCCACAGACAAGTGCTGGAGATGCTACCAACCGGGAGCACACCACGCACACATATGGTGGCAATGCCCGCAAATAGCAAAATTCTGGAACAGAATTCAAACTATCATTCTAAGCATCTTCCAGACCAAATTCCCCTTAGCCCCAGACCAGTACATCTTCCTCCTGCCCCCCCAGGGCTTATCAAAATTACAAATGGCCCTTTTCCATCACCTGGTCATGGCCGCTTCGCAACTAATTCCCAAATATTGGAAGCGGCCAAACACCCCCTCGCTCAGAGAATGGATCCAGAGGGTAGAAGACACAAAACAATTAGAAGGTATAACGCAGGCTAAAGTAGGGAACTATGTGAAATACACCAAGATTTGGGCACCGTGGAATACATTCACGTCAATGGGGTCACACTAGACAATCAATTATGATCATCTCACGACAAATGTTTGGAAGGTGAGGGAGGGGTGACGTCGGGCGTGGCCACAGGCATCTGGGAGCGCAGTGGGAACCGAGAACTGACATTGACGAATCTAGATGACTAGTTATTAGCGACAGTCCTTACACCAGGGACGACTTAGGACTTAGTGGCACAAACATGGGCTATAAAGGCTAGAAGTAAGATGTGGGGAAAGAAAAAAAATCGAAGCCTCCTCATGACTACACCAATACTAATAGGCGTTCTACTGAACCGTGCAATATCTAAAAGTTACTACTCAAGCCATATACTAGTTACTACTGTGTTCTGATACTTACGTTGCAACATTGACCAGCCTAACTTGACTAACTCCATGAAACTCACACTTCCGCTGATCAATGTCCTATATATCACTCTGTACTTATATTGCATTGTATACTATTATCTACTATCAATGTTAGATTAATATCATTGCTAAATACTTTGTGTACTGAAACACGCTGTACCTACGCCTCATACGGTATCACTGTACCTTTTCAACTATTACAGGACATATCTGTACTGTTAAAATCTAAGTTTAAACCAATGTATGCATTACCTATGTTTGAAAAAAAAATTAAAAAAAAAAAAAATATATATATATATATATATATATAATGAACCTTTTGGGATTAGGGAAAGGCCAGCACAGGAGCGAGGAGGCGATACGCCAGGTGTAATCCCTGTAAGCAGGTTCCCATTAGGATCTACTTGACGCGGGTCACTGCCCTCACTCTCCGAAATCTTTTAACCTGTCCAAAGCAGACCAGAACCGTAACACACGACCATACTAAGAGTCTCCTGAACCAACTAATCTATTTCTAGATACGACCCAATACACTAAGTAACGCCCAAGAGTACTTCCTACTATACCAAGCAAAATCTCCTGACGGAGTCAACCTAAGTATGACATATTTATGCTGCCACATGCACCGCCACACTGTGGCTAGCCCATTTTAGATTTCAAGGACATTGAGATGGACAGACCGTTACGACTGCCTAGCCAAATCCATAAAAGTGCAATTTTTTATTTATTTTTTATTTAGGTCATGTACACATTTTGCCTTGTTATTTACCTAACCATTTGTTCTTATGATTATGGCATTATGAATGTGTCCTGACTTATCTTTATGCACAGAAATTGAAAATAAAGAATTAAAGATAATGAACAAAGAGAGGAAAAATGGGTGGGGTAGGGTAAGTCCCAATCTTTCAGATTCCTTCTACAGGTTCAACCTCTGAGGTCTCATAGGGAGAAAAGTGTAAATTCAGGTATGCAGTCATGCAATGCAGGTTGAACTTCAATTATTTTAAGACTGCTGGGAAGCAGAGCCTAATTCCTCTAGGGATCAGATTTCTTCCACCACATTTAACCATTCTCTAATGCTAGGAGGAACAGAATTCTCAAATGCTGACAAAACTGAACTGTAAACCCGGCCAAATGCAAGAATCTAACAGGCAGAGATTGCTTATATCTGGATCCTAGGAATGTGGGGGAACTGTTTTGTAACAGTTATAATAAGGCAATCCCACTAAATATGAAGAAGCTTACTGGGGCCGTTAAGACAATGCCAGCGTGTACAGTTGGAATGCGTCCGTCAGTAGGACTGAACATCCAGACAACTACACAATGTGCAGGCATTTAAGGGATATGCTGAACAAATCTGCACATAGTTTTTAGAGCAAGAGGACTTCAAAAGCTACTTCAGGATTATTGAGATCATACTGCAGAAGCTTCAAATCTCTAGGATTTGCAAAAAAAAATAAAAAAAAAAATCATGAAATGTATATATTTTGTCCCTTTTTTGTTTTTTAATTCTATTCTTGCATTTTTAAAACTATATATAAAGTATTCGTACTATAAAGCAGTATTAGTTGGGATCATGGTGACTTTCCAATAAGAAAGCAACACAATCACATTATGTGACATTTGAGAATGGTTCTTCTAAAAACAGGTGCCCAAAGCTTCTCACAACATTAAAAAATACTGACCTCTCTAATTTCCTCTGTTATGTTGTCCAAAATTTTAAACCCCTTTGTCAATGTCAGAATGTGCCCAATACTGAATTTTAAGACCATTTCACTTCTTTAATACAGATTACATTATGATAGGTTAAACGTAATTTTTATTCCATAATGAATTCCTACTTCTTTATATTAAACTAACTAGTACACTGTTAATTATGGTTAATTAATTATTGCTATTCAAATACTGTTTAGACCAGGTCTTTGACTACATAACATTTTAATATAGCACCAAAACGTTATTAAAACAATTAGGCTTCATTTAATTTTCTGCACGGAGTATGCACAACAATATTAACCTGCTGTTTTCGTAACTGTGCCCATGCAAAAAGATATTCAGAAATTGCTTGAGCTGCTGTAAGCAAAAAAGTATAGTGACTTACATAAACTAGAATGAATGTTGCATTCGGCCGGAGTGAGCTTCTAATAGCACACTGCTCTATTAAGGTTTTATTGTGACACCGGATGAGCAAAAATTTTAAACATTTCAAGACATGTTGATTTTCTAAATCCTCACAGGATGAGATGGTGGGGATATTAAAGCTGCTTTGTCACGACAATAACACTTTAGAATATTTTGTAGACATAAAATCTTTAGAAAATGCTCATATTGACTGCAGTGGAATTTCACTGAAATTTCAACACAGCCAAAAGATATCATGTGACAAATCAGGGTGAACTGCAAGGGTGAAAAGGTGGAGCTACTGACTTCATGTTTTGTCAGTTCCTACATCGTCATTAGCAACAGCTAAAAGAAATAGGCATCTTCTCACACATTGCAAACCTGGTATGGAGCATTGCAGGCCCAGACTGGACATCGGGCACACTGGGCAAATGCCCGGTGGGCCGTGATCACCATGGGCCGAGGCCGGAAGGAGAGGTCACCAGACCTCCCCTGTCGGTCCCTGCGGGGCCCGCACTGTCCGAGCATCGGCCCCGCTGTGTTCCCTGACGGGCCAGTGGGGAGATCAAAGATCTCCCTCACCGGCCGACTTGCACAGACATGCAGCTGGGGAGGGAGAGGAAGACCCGACAGAGCTCTACATCTTGCAACTCCGCCAGGTTCCTCTCGTGAGATCCGGTGCGTTGCCGTGGCAACACCCCCAATCTCGCGGGAGTGAACTCGAGTCTCACAGGCTAGAGTTCACGCACCACTAGCACCACCAGGGATGGCAGCCAGGCTAAAGGTAAGAAGGGAGGGGGGATATAATGACCGTTTTTTAAATTTATTTAAGATAAGTAAATTCTTATATAGTGGCCTTAATCTGCCTTCCCTCAACACACAATCCCTCCTAACCTACACACACACACACACACACACACACACACACACATCACCCTCACACACAGCACTCTCACAGCTCCCTCTCATACATACACACATTACCCTCACATTTCACCCCTCACACTCACAGTACCCACACACACACACACCCACCCATTGCACCCTTTACTCACACACACACACTGCTGGGCGGGCTCTCTCACGGTCGAGCTAAGTGGCTGGCTTCTTGGATGTTGCATAATGCACCAATTTTGTTCTCAACAATTGGGAAACTCTGCTCTACAGCATCCTTCACCTGTCTGTCGTCCTGTGTTATTTTAATTACATCTGACACATTCTCACAGCTAACAAAAATTAAAACACACACACACACACACACACACACACACACACACTACCACCACCACCATCTGTATTCTTATAGGGGAAAAATAGTCCAATTAATTTGCAGAATACATCAGTTTAATTTTTTTTCATGCAGCATAGCGGTAAAAAACACAGATATCCCAGCCTAAAATGGCTGCACACGTAACAAATTTGTTTTAAATCATTAGCACAATCCTTCACCCCATAGTATGCATTCACACTGTAAACATATTTGAAAGTCACGCATATCATTGAGGACCACCATCTGATGCCATCTCAGAGGTGGAGTAAGACGTCTTTGCCCAGGTATATTGTTATTCTATATTTGCTAGAAATTTCTCCAGCATCATATACAGATTAAATCTATGACAACCTGAAGGTGAACGTGTTATCTACACATCCTTGGGATGACAGGCTCACTTTACATTGATCTAAATCAGCATTCCTTCAAATCAATATTGCTTATTGTCCACTCAGTCATAAATTATGTTGCACTCTGCTGGAAGGTGCATCTTTCCATTATACTGTTAATGAGAAATTAAGGCTGAAGAAAGAGGTAGGATAGGTCTTCTTGACCTTCACAAACAACACCTACTCACCTTCGCTCTGATTCCTCAGCCATCTTCAGGGCAAGCATTTCTGTCTCAAGTACTTTTTGCTCCATTAGCCTCTTTTCCTCCTCACTACGGATAGCTGTGGCTTTGATCCTCTGCATCTCCTGCTCTGCATCTGCTGCTTTCTGGGCTAAGAGTTTGGCTTCTTCTTCAGTAATTTGAGCCTTCTCTGCCAGCAAGTCTGCAGTCTCCTCCGATCTCATCTGAGGAATAGAGAGAATGGGTAAATGCATCAGAGTGCTACAATCTCCACATTTTGCTTCCATATCAGCCAGTGCCATTTTCTACGGATATGTTAAAGATTGGCAAAATTTCTAGTATTACTGTAACATTTTCAAATCTATTTCCACTTCTAATACTAGGCATGAAACAAAGAAAGTCTTGAGTAAAATAAATAATTAAAAATAATATATATATATATATATATATATATATACACACACACATACATACATACATACATACACACACGAGTGTATACAACGATCAAGATGTATTTTGTACTTATTTTTATATGTATGTTTAATATGCATCTTCCGTCCATTAGTACTAAGCCACATTTGTTACATATCTGTAATCACATCAAGTACATTATATTGCATAAGAAAGTATCAAGGTTCAACCCTAGAGAAGGAGCTCAATCTCACCAATGCATCATTAGCCATCTGTGCCTCTTCTTTAAGTTGCAGCAACCTTCTCTCAAGCTCATCACGAGTCCTCTCAGCTTCTTCCCTCATCTGCTTTTCCCTTGCCAATCTCTGGCGCTCCATCTGTAAAGATCAAACAAAAATGCATGCATAGCTGGTCAATGAGAAATTAATAACAATGCAGGTAGTTAGGTATTGCCAATGGTTTTACTCTAGAATCAACCAATATTTACAGCAAACAGTACAAATTAAAGTATCGGAATTTGGCTAACACAATATAGAGATAAAATATTTTTATCTATACAATGCCAGCATGACAAATGCACACTTTTACCCATTGCTAACATGGTTTTCCATATGTCTTTTGTAGAATTGTTGCCCCTCTGCTCCTCCAGGCCAGATGTAGAAGCAAAAAAAAAAAAAAACCCCAAACAGTTATTCACTAAAATCACATTGTAACCATATCAGGCATACGCATTCTTATGGACCATGAACACTCCATGAGACTTAAGTTAAAATCTCATAAATAGGTGCCTGTTTTGTGTTTTATTTAACACGAAGAATGCCTAATCCTGTGAAAATGCCATCTTATAAATCTGCTAAAGCCACAGTAAAAAATAAAACAAACATACATACATTTTATTTGCACAGCATTTTCTCAACTTATGGTGGATGGTTACTGAAAGAAATATGCTCCATATCTATAAAGCAATCTGCTGATACAGAAAAACAAATCTGAAGTTTTATCTTTTTGCTACATTAGAAAAAAGGGCTGACTGGTTCAAGTTTGGGAATTCAGCTTCATTATTCCCTCTGCAACCTCCCATTGGATGGTACTCAGCAAACTAATTAAACACAATGATACAATGAAATGATAAAACACATGGCAGGACAGAAGAATTCGGAAGCAACAAATTCCTCCTTCTAGAAGAGACTATTATAGAACCATCATTGGAACATACTCCAGACTGTTTCTGGTGAACAAAACTGCTGGATCATCCATACTTAAAATTCATAAAACAATTTAATTTAAATAAGATATTCAAAATGGAGTCCATTTATTTCACAACCGGCATCTTGAATGAGAGAGACTATATCCCAGAAAACGCCTCAGAATCCCCATGCGAAAAGCGAAGAGTATCAGTACCCAGTCAAGGTATTACCTTTTGGGAAAATATCAACTTGCAACAATCCTAAATATACCCTAAAAAAAAAAAAAAACTATCGTTTATATAACCAGACTGCTGAGAGTCTATATTTTTAAAAAGCCCAGTTATTCATAGATCTTCATGGTCCTAACAAAAAAGGAAAACAAGGTACAAAGCTTTGACTGCAAGATGGCTGAAGTGTTTTAATGTCTACTTATGTGGTCAGTGGAAAATTTCCTGGGATACAGAGCCTTAGCAAATCCAGACCAATTATGAATTGCCGCCAGTTGGACAACATTATGGACACTTTTTAAACACTACAAATACAATATTTTTGCCTCAGAAAAAAACAGTATGTTCGTGCAAGGTGCTTTAGATAGTGGTTTAACACAGTAAAGGAGTTTAAGCATGCGTGGGATAGGCATAAGGCCATCCTAACTATAAGATAAGACTAGGGACTAATGAAAGTATTTAGAAAATTGGGCAGACTAGATGGGCCGAATAGTTCTTATCTGCCGTCACATTCTATGTTTCTATGTGAAGCAGTGATATCCCTCCTGTTCTGTGATCTAGCTTGTTAAATGCCATTTGTTGTACTGTCAAGGGAAGTATAAAACAAATTAATTTAACAAAAGTAAAAATAAATATTTTTTGTAGCACTACAGTATACACACACACACATAAGAATTCAAGCATGTTAGGTGAACAGTGACTCCATGTGGCTAGGTCAAGAAATGCAGGAAGATGCAGTGAAAAGGATATGTATGCTAGTCAGGCCGAGTCCTATGGATGAGTGAGCGGGAGGAGATGAGTGGATGGCTTAGGCCCTGTGTTTGAATGCTAAGTGCTGCGGAGGCGTCACACTGCGACGGCATGCTCTCTCTGATGGCATTAACATTCCTGTCTGGTTGTAACAGCACTTAGCACAGCTGTCAAGATGGGATTGGGTAATTGCAGAGCACATTGAGACACAAACTGCAGAGTGAGGACTGGAACAGCCTCCTGGATGTGCATGTGTGATACTCTGCCCTTCAGCACACAAAGGGAATGAGCAGGGGTTAAGTGTTGTTGAAGAGAGAAGAGTTGTCTGGAAATCAGTCTAATTTCTGAACATGAGCGATTACCATGTCCCTGAGGAATGACAGGTGCAGCTTATGAGCTTCACAAGGCTCTTGTAGGAGAATCCAAGGATGCATAATATTGAGCGACTCTAGAACAGTTATCAGGCAATGTAAGTAATGCAGATAGCACTGCCCACGACTTGCTGTATTCTGTGACTTCCAAAAGTACTACAGTACTGATTTAATGGGACGCAGCTTCTCCACTTGGCTTAATAACCTCCAACAATGGTCGCTTGAAAGGGTAGTCAGTCAGTGTGCAAGAGCCCCCTTACACATATCAAGCCTGATTGTTGCCTGACCAGTTAGTTTGAGTTATATTACAGACTTTACAATAATGCACCTGTCTACTGATTATCTTCATGTGCAAACAATAAATGTAAAGTTTTCCAATAACAAAATGGGCACGTGGAGATTATTAGCAGGGGTTACTGGTAAATCTGCAATTGAAAGCCTTAATTCTCTCCGCCTTAATATTAAAATTTGTAATACCGAGAGACAAATAACTTCTCCATTGGAAGTTTTTCAAATAACTCCTCACTGATCTATTTTATTCTCTTTTAAAAGAATTCAATTGATAAAATATCTAAACAAATTGAAAGGGTTACTCAATAGTATGTTTCTTTTGTCGGAAGAAATTGGCTAAACGCATAGGCCACAGGAATTTGTGGTAAATATGGCTCTCCTACTGGCTGTCTCTTGTCAACGTGGAGAAATAAATAGAACAGTGAAGAACATTTGTGATGTGGCCGCACAGTTCATCACATTCAGGTTCCTGTAAAGCTTGCTTTATGAAGTGGTTCGGAAGACTTGCAGTTGTCCAGCAGTGCACCTGAATAGGACAGATATTTCAGATCTCACCTGCTTCCTGGCTTTCTCTTCTCGGGCCTGGGCTTTCATCTGCTGCACTTCTAGGGAGTCTGACTTCCTCCTGCGCATGAACAAGTCATGGTTCCCAATGCAGAGCTGCAGAATCTGGAGTCAGGCACAAAACAGTAAGAGTCAAAAACTATGTAAGTGCAGAATGCTACCATGCGTGAAAAACTTAAACACTGAATAGTAAAAGTCAATTATTCCCAGAACTCTGACAAGAAACCTCTGATTCAGCAAACTGATGATCTACGGTCAGTACATAGCACTAAAAAACAGCTGTTTTAAGGTAATAAACATGATCTACAGCACTGTTGTGATTTCATAGAAATCTGAATTAAATACCCAAATCACAATAAAGAAAATATAAATCACATGTAATAGAATCTTGTTATACTTTAGAGAGATTGTTACGTCTTCAGTAGCATATGACGATGGTAACTGGATTACATACTAGGTAATTCTACCTTACACAAAGTTAACTCTAAACATGACATTGGCATGATTGTTACTGGTCATTAGCAATGTGGATTTTAGTTGTGCTCTATTATGAAATTGCATGTAAACCATGAGAGTCACTAAAAAAAACCCTTAAAAAGCCCCACCTGTGTTCACTTGAAACATCAGTTCACATATGTTAAATATTTTAAGATTAGTATATTTGGTGTATTAACATAATATATACACACCTACACATATAAGAGTATGTCTAAAAAGTAACTGTGGTACACAATTCAAAATGTATTTAAAAAAAAAAGCAACACAGGCAGCAAATTAGATTTTAGAGTACCAAATGCATACATTACAGTATTGCATTATTTTAGAACCAGAGGATATTCACACTGATTTAAATCTCGTTATTTTACATTTATTTCCAAGGGCCCCCAGGTAAGGGGTTACAGAGAGCACACAATATAAATAATGAGGTACAATAGGTATACAGTGAGCTCTGCCAGGAGATTCTATTCAAGCATTTGTCATGCTTTTGTTTTACATGCTAAGCCAGTTTATCAATCTAAAGTAGAAAATGGAGGTTGGAAGAAAATAAAACTGGGGGAAAAAAAGTAAAGATAGTGGCAGATAACTTAGGAAACCGTTGTATGTAGTTATGTTATGTACATAGTACTATTTAAAGCAGAAGTCTCACTTGTTTCCACTGACTTATAGTCACAATTTCAGCCAAAAACACTTTACAAGGCACTATAGTCACCAAAAGAACTTTAATTTAATTAAGCAGTTTTGGTATATACATCATGCCCTTGCATTGTTTCAATATCTGCCATTTAGGAGTTAAATCACTTTTACACAACCTTCCTAAACATTTCCTGTAAAGAGTAATCTAATGTTTCCTTTATTGCAAATTCTGTTAAATTTAGAAATCCTTATAGTCTGCTCTGTTAATAGCTTGCTAGATCATCTCTGCTCATCTCTACATGCAGTATTAACCACATAAAGGGTATAGCAGCTATTAAGGAAGTATTACAGAAGGATCAGGAATTAGATGAGCAACACGGCTCATTTATTTTCGAATGTATCAATTTTATACTAATACATAACTATTTTTTATTTGAGAGTAAATTTTACCTACAGACTTGTGGTACAACAATGGGCACCAGGTTTGCACCCAACCTATTTATGGTGGTGTGGGGAGATGCCCGCATTTGGGTTGAATATGGCTGGGTTTCAAGCCTGGTGCTCTGGAAGAGGTATATAGACAATGTAATTATCATCTAGGACAGTGTACATTCTGAATTTAAATATTTTTTTTTTTTACTTATATTAATAACAATGATTTGGGTTTGAAATTTATTTCAAACTTTCTTTCTTCCAACATTAACTTTTTAGATATCTGTTTTTTTATTCGGGATGATCGATTTTGTAATAAAACTATTTTTTAAATTGCTGCTAAGAAAAGATTTATAGATTTTAAATAGTTGCCACCATCACCAGTGGCTTTCAAACATCCCAAAGGGTTAATATATGAGAAGGAGTAGAAACAGCACTGAAGACGATGATTCTGAGGCAAAGACTGAGTTTCTGGAGAATAGATTTGTATTACACAGGACTAGGGATAATATACACCACTTGAGAACGAATCCCATAGAGTGGTCGAGAAATACAATAGGAATATCCGATGTGACTTTAGTCTAGCCTTTTGAACTCAATACAAACAGAATTCCAAATTAATTGAAAAAGCTATATCTAATGTTGGCCAGTTCTGTTACAAGATGAAGTTTTAAAGGATGATCTACCACCAAAACCTAAGGTGATGTACACAAAAGCAAAATAATTTTAAATCTTTTTTTTTTTTTAGCACCTAGCATGTTGCCCCCTATTGAGCATCATATTCCAGGACATTTTCCCACACCTAATGGTTTTTACAAATATGGCCATTGTAAGATGTGCAGCCCAAGGTGTGTAAAGCATTTTACATCTATCAACACTAGGGAAGTTTATGAAATTAAGCATGTTATTAATTGCACAACTATTAATGTTATATACTTACGCCAGTGTCCAGGTGGAGCGCAGTATATTAAACGAACAATACGGACTCTCAGAGAATGATTATATGATCATCTAAGAGCATTAGCAAATAAAGACATTAAACACATTGTACCCAGACACAGTAATGGCTGCTCTAGTTTTAATGTATTGTATAGTGAGTTTTTATGTATTGGGATAGATGTTTTAGATAGGGATCTCAGAAGGGGTAATCTTACTAAAAGATTCTGTGAATGTAAAACTACGTGAATAAGTTGAAAACGTATGAGAAGAGCCTCAAGATTGATTTGGATATTGGCCTTATGGGAATAGACTTACTCTTCTCTCCTCTATTTTCGTTCTCTTTTCCATCCTAATTGCCTTCTTTACATGGCTATGCTTCTTGTATAGATCTCATTTAAATTTTGTATATTTAATTGATGACAATGCAATTATTCAGCCTTTGGAGTCAATAAAATGTACATGGATCACCTAGCAGTATTATACCCATTGTTTTATGATAATTCATATGTATATTTCTTTTCATTTTTTTATTATTATTTTCAGTAATTTATAGTATTACTTTATTGTTTTTATATTATACAGCTGGGTCTTTCATAACATGTTAGTATCTGGATTATTCTATTGTAACATGTGTTCTCCCATCCTAAGTGTAATTGCACTGTAATTCTTGTATATAATCTAATTGCTTTCTACTAGGTTTGTATTTTTATTCTCTGAAAGTTGGTGTAGCACCGGAGTGATTTTTTTTTCTTCTTAATATTTGTTTATTTCAACACGTGATCCTCTTCTTATTTTTTGTATAGGATATAACAGAGTAGAAGAAGACACGCAGGTCTGTATCAGTTAAATTTGAAACCGTGGAACTCGCAGGTTCTGTGAATATCTAAGCAACAGGTCTCAATTTTTATGGAGTTACGTTACAAGCATGTTATTTACGTGACAGAGAAATATTACAATTACTGTATGGTTTTATAAGTACAACGTCTTATTAACAATGCTTGTGCTAGGTTGTTGCCCTGGTTATCAGTCAGACAATTGTCCGTATGGTGTCGGCATGTGTCCCTCTCTACGTGAGGCAGGGACAAAGAGGCATAGCATTAAAAGGGTCTACCTGCCTATAGGTTTGAGGAGGTGAAGAGTAGTTAAATAAAAGGGAGGGTAAGGAGTAGAAAAAAAGGGGGGGGGAGGTAGGAGGCGGGGTTGAAGGTGCTCAGTATTTTCAGTTATGAAAAGGGGGCTGCATCATAGCATTGTGTCTTCTGGTGTCTGGTCTCTCACCTCTCTATATCCTCCTCCCATTACTTTTCTCTCAGTTTGTTGTGTAGTATCCAGTCTATTGCATCTCTCCTTCACTACAGGTGGTGTCTTAAGTGTTTTATTGCAATAGCGTCTTGAATTCAGTGGAGTCTGTTGATAGAAGTCTGGGACCTCTCACTATTACGAAATATCAGGTCTTCCATAGAGTGATATTCTTAATTTCCTTGGAACCACAGTTGCATCGGTGGAGCTCTTTCTCCAGCCCTTTGGCGACATTCATAATTCGTATCATCAGTGAGTTTTTGTATGTGGTTGTGCACATTTTAGTGTGGTGGAAGATCGGTGCCGGTAGGGTCCTCTGAAAATCTTTGGATAATTCTGTAGATCTTTGTCCAAAAAGGTTTTATCTTTGAACAATCCCGCCATGGATGAAGTAGGGTGTCCACCTCCTCTCCACAACTCCAACATATCACATCTATGGCTGGTATCATCGAATGCAGTGACTGGGGAGTCCTATACCAATAAGTTCGCAATTGGTACACAGTCTCCTGTGTTTTACTGGATACTGCGCAATGTTGTGTGAAATCACAGCTTTTTGTGTCACTGTGTGAGAGGAAGTGTTTCTCCTAAGGCCTCCTCCCATTTTCCCATAAAGTGTAATGGTGGTGTTCTCTGCTGTGCAAGGATCATATTATATATAGTTGATATCCCGTGTTCCAGGGAGTCAGGGTCTGTGCAGATTGCCTGCATTGGGGTAAGGTCCCGGGTTAGAAGGGTCTCTGTGGAACTGCAGCTGTACCACCGACGATATTTTGACCACCAGGGATAGTGTTAACAGGAGATAGTTAGAAGCAGAACCTTTAAAAGAAGTTATAGGTAATAGAAGAATGAGATCCTATAAAAGGAAGCTATAGGTAAGGTAACAGAAGACTACAGAAATTTAAGGTTTAGACAATATTTCCCACGCAGGATTTTTAGTAAGAGGATAAGATAGAATAGATATTACAGATAAGTAAAGAGAAGAAAACCTATAACTGAAAATTATAGGTTACAGGTAAAACGAAATACAATAGACAGAACTAAACAGGAGTATAAAAGATAAAGTAGTAGATGTCAGACATTTAGTTAATAAGCCTCTTTTGGTTTGCAGGTTGTATAGCAGATTTTTGGATAGATGAATTAAAGTCCTTTAAGATATTTTATTGCTACAGGTTTATAGGTACAGCTGATTTATCCAGTTGAGGAAGCCACAGCAAAGTGGTGAAACGCGTTCCGGTTTTTATTAGGACATTGTGCCTTATTTTGTTTTATACATATTATTAATAAATTATTTATCTTTTATTTTACATTTACCTGGTTCGGCACTTTACTGCTTCTATATGGGAGTGCAGCCCCTAGTCTGCATAATGCCTGAAAACAGTTATACTGACTCCATGCTTGTAAGTACCCATTTTTGGGATTCTACTGAAATAAATCTATTTATCCAAGCAATATTGCGCTATTTCCCTTGTATAATTATCCCCCTCCAGGACGGGCCACATTTTTCTGCTGAGGGGTGGGTCGCCTAAACGGACCCAGAGGCGAATCAAACTAGAGCTGAGTTCACAGCTCTGGGTCTGAGTATGCCATTTCTGTATTTTACATATTTATGTTTAAATTATCTACTGTCTGTCTATACTATGCTGTGATTATCTTTTATAGATTTATTTGCAACCTGGGACACTAGAACATTTTCTCCTCCAGCAATATAAAAAGGTGACATTCACTTCCAAAGCGCTACATTCTTTATTTTTTCTTTAGGATATTTGTAATTATGAAGGTTGTTTGTAATCTCTACCTTGGTTATGTAATTTTCCGTAATTGCAATAACAATTCAATATTATATCCAAGTCCAGTAATGTATAATACAGGCAGTAATCGCAGATTAGGGTACCTCCAGGTGTATGGGTATTAAACAGGATTTCTCCAAGTAGGTTTTCTCCAAACGTATGGATAGTAAGCAGATTTGGAAAGTAGCAGGTTGAAAAGAATAAATCAGGTTGAATTAAATAATTCCAGGGTGTAATAGGTTTTTGCAGAATGAGCCAGGATCTGTAGTCTTGCCTCGACCAGAACGCAACTACAACTAATGTAAAGGTAAATTGTCTAGCAGGTTGAACAGATATGATAGGTAGGTGAGAGAAAGTATGTTCAGACTAGTGGAGAAAACTGGAACATTTTTTAAAGAAATGGAAATAAAAGAAACAAAATTCTAGGTTGTCAGGATAAGGACTTGACAGACCCTCCACAATACATCCCTCGCTATACTGGTTAGATTCTATTACTAAAACCAATCCAGAGGTAGAAAGAATCAAGATTGGAATGAATGAATGTTGAATAGGGAGAGATCAACTAAACGGTCGATTAGACTGTAGTATGTTAAACAGGGAGTAATTAGGTACAATACGGGGTAAACAAGACAAATTGGGTTAAGGTAATAGAGGTGCTGTATAAAAGGTCTAGACTGATAGCTAAGAAAGAAGGAAGGTAGGGACCTTGTCAAATACCAAAGTAGGAAAAACAGCCATCAAGTAGAAAAAAAAAAAAAAAAACAGCTATTGTAATTCCTTATTTATAGAAAAATGTTTGGCTTCTTTAAATTAGTGTAATGATAAGGGCTACATAGAAACCCAGAGACAAAGTTGCAACAAAGCTGGTAGCTCATTTGCTTCAATATAAAAACAATTTAACGTGGAGGAAACCAAAATCCAATAACTGATGTGTTTCCAAACAGTGACCCCTACTGGTTTAAGTGTAAAATATTATCATGTGCAAAATGTTGTCATTCGCTTGTTTGTGCTATACTTAAGTGATGATTAATTCATGGCAGGTTTTTCAGATAAATATATATATATAAAAAATAAAAAAAAATTATTCAAAGTTTGAGTTTCTGCTTTACTCACTGTTAACATGTTAGTTGCACTACTGTGGTTGCTATAAAGACTTAGAAAACAAGAGTTTATTGTAATGGAACAGCTCGTCAGCTTATAGGAAGGCGCCTTAACACATCAATTGGTGAGGATAACATCCAAAAATGCAAGATAATTTCAAAATGCTTAATATCCCAAGTAAGAAACCCTACAAAGTGCTTTAAAGGGACACTGTATGAATCAACACTTTGGCATCATTAATGTGCTGTAATTTTGTATGCTCACATTTATTTGTTTTGCTTCCAGCTCACTCCTGCTGTCAGTGGTTGAGCTGCACATAACAATAAGGAATTATTTTTCTTGACTATGGGACATTATAAGGGAGGATGCTTTATGATGCAGCATCCTGTTGTACACCTATTTTATCAGAAAAAAAAAAAAAATACTAGGTTTTGAGCACGCAAAACATACAGTATGTAAAATGAGGCTAGATCACATCAAATTCACATTGGTTCTCTGCGTGTTCATTGGGTGCATCAGTACTGCACAAGTGTAGAGTGTCCCTTATCTTACTGCTGGAGTATTCAGTTGACAGATCAAAATTATATTTGTGCAGACAAGATGGAAAATATAAAACGTGCAACTCTAAAAATACAAAGTGCTATTATATTGTATTTGAAAGGGACATGTCATGTTTATGTGTTGTTTACCAATTGTACAGCACAGTTAAACATTACAGTTTTGTAAACTATAATTAGAATAGAACGCTTGGGGGGCATGGACAATATATTGCCCTCTGTTGTTTATGCAGTTGTCCAAGAGTAATCTAGATGTGTTAAGTTCCTTGTGTATTTCACCACAGTGCTACAATACAGCCTTGTGTACTCCTTTATCCAGAGTTAAATTGCTTGAAGGGCTGTCGAAGAAAATCCAATTCTGTCCCATTATAGATTTGGGATTTGACATGAAAGCAGCAAGAGTAGCATTAATTTAAAAATGGGGGTTTTAGATAGTTTGATGGTTTATTCAGTAGCACTAGGCTGATGGCAGTTCAAAATAATACAGTGGCTAGATATTTATAAATCACAGGCTTGCATCACTGCTGTATATTTTATGGATTTCATGAAGACAAATAATATAACCCGTTTACAGATCACTACAAGAATTCCAATCCTAGTTCACTGCTAGTTTAAGTTAGTTGTGTTTTTTTTTAATTTTTTTATTTTTTTAAATCAAGCAAATGCAGACGCCTGATAAAAAAATAAATAAAAAAAAAAGCATTCTCAGCTAAACAGCAATGGTTTTACAGCAGACTTTTCATTTCCTTCTTTTCATCACACTGCTATAATATACCACTATAAAATGCAGTAGTTGATATTATCCCCTGACCAATATTTTGACCCACAGCTGTTATTCCAGGACACAGTCATATAATATGTGGACATGGTAAGACATTTATAAGTAAGTAAACAAACAGTAATTTGGATGTCCCAACACAAAGCTCGTTATGAAGATATGTAATGTTTACATACTGGTAAATATTCCTGCAAATAGCATCTAATGTGGACCAGAGAGAAGGAAAATAAAATGGTAACATTACATAACATATGCACCAATCAGACATTTGCAATCAAAATACTTTCAAACTCTGTAGTGATTGAGCAGCTGCACACCATGTAGAGGGCAAACAGCACTCTCCTCTGTTGTCCAATTTGCATCTGTACTTCCCAATGTTCAAAATGCCAGGCATAGCTGACACTCCATTTTCCATTATTATGTTCTATGAGAGCTGTATGTAAAGTGCAAGAGTAAGCTTTTTCCATTGGGATAAGCCCCTATTCATCCAAACTAAGCAAAAATCCAAACCAGGACACCAAAAGCCCAGGTTGTATCAGTATCCCTATTGGAAGAGAATTGAGAAATGCCTTAATCCTGGACTGTTGTGCACCCTGAAGCCGAGATGGGAGCATGTATACCTTGTCTCATGCAAGTGGCAAGTTTTTTTTGTATCCCACCAGCATTTAATGATGAGCAACTGCACACACACAACTTATTTCAATCTGTGTGCCTGAATAAAAAAATAAAATTAAAAAAAAACTCACAGGTAAAGCATCGGATAAATGTGCAACTTGTAGTATCCAGGCACCCAGTGAAAAGTCTGAAACTTTTGCATGGATTTTGGGATGCAAAGAAGTTGTTGTTCAAATCACAGGGGTGTAAAGGGAGCTTAAAATTCCACCAGAATGTGGAAATGTACCAACGCTGCATGCACAGAGGCATGAACATACTGAAATTGCACACAGACACAATGACAAACATAACATTGCACACACTGAACTGACAGTTAATGCTTACACATACAACACCAAAATATATACTAAATACTGAAAAAGGACAAACAGGAATACCATCATATACACATTCTGACAGCGAACGCACACATTGACACTTTAATTTTCTTCTTTTTCTAAAGGAGTATTCACCACCATCTCAATCACTGTCTAAATACTAGACTTCTATGGATTCACCTTCCATTCATCACTAATCTCCTAGAGGATTTAAAGATTCTACTGGTTTCCTGACAATTAAAGAATTACATTTCTTGAATAAACACTGGATATTGGAAAGTAATACCAAATACAGTGTATTATTTTATTTTGCATTTTAATAGAATTTTGTATTGCTCAGCGTGCTACCGTCTCTCTCAGTCCAGATGCCCTCTCTATCTTAAGTAAAGAAGCCCCAAGGTTTTACATATTCTTTGTTTATCTGTTGTTTTTTTACTACAAAATATAGAAATACGACTTCTATATTGCAGACACGTTTTTCCTCACATTGCGTTAATCCAAAACCTTAAATTTATTCAGAGGAATCTGAATTAAGATGCTTCTGGATCACATGAGGTAATTTGGGTTATTCAGAGAGTTCAGAGAATAATGCCATGAGAGAGACTGAAACAGAAGTTAAAAAGGATGACAGATACTAACATGAGATTAGTAGCTGGAGCTGGATTGTAGAGGCCAAAAGAGAAAATAAAACAATGTCTGCAGCCACACAGTATGTTCGTGCATACAAATCTGGCCCTCCACAATGAAGAATTTGGACAAGCAGCAAATTATAAAATTACACAACCAATATCCCTGGTGACAATGCCACTTTACACTGCAGCAGACTAGAATTTTTAAATCAAGGTTTTCAGAATAAAATGCTGACATTCAACGCCACCTACCAGCTTGTTGACACGGAGTTTAGAAGAGTTAAATTTGAATACATCTATCTTCTTATCCAGTGGCTTAATGGTAAACTGAAAAAAAGCAAATAAAACATCTGTGTAATTGAAGATAAAGATTATTTCCCCAAGTCTCTAGTTATATATTTTTTAATTATTCCCCATTTTATCTCATCAAAACAAACTTGTGGGCTGTCTAAAATATATTTCAAAACACCTCCAGAAAACCTGTTTTATTGTTATTTCTCCATTATATGAATTTTATTTTAATAAAATTCCTATAGTTGATGTATACAGATTTTAAATATGTCACAAAACAGCCTGTTGATAAGGTATTGCTATTTGCCTCTTAGGTGCATATGACTGATCCACTGACCTCTTTATCACTATAAGAGATGTTCCTGATCTCATTCCACGGGAAAGAAGTCTTTGGTGTCAGTCTGTTTTCTGGATCATAGATGTGAAGTCCAAGAGCATCCACTCCTAGAAGCAGTTCAGTGCCCTTCTTGTTCTGAAATAGGAAATAAAATTGGTTAGGTTAATAGGACTACACTTACTATGCATGTGTCACAAGAATACCAATGGAGGTGACATTCAGAGACATACACGGGATGAAGAGTTTGCGCCTAGGAATAGTTAAGAAGTTTTCATTAATGAAAGACACTTGTGGTGTCTGTAAGTGCATGAATTCATGATTTACAATCCGTTTAAAGCATTTAATAATTTGAGTGGTCAGGGGATGCAAATAGCAGTAGTGACGCCACTGGCAAAATGTTCTCATGATTCCCTGCATGCATATCCTAATTCACATAACATCTGTATGTGAAGAATCCTAGCTAATGCAAATTGAGCTGTTGAGGAACGATGGTCAGGACTAGAAATTTCAATTCATGACTCACTCGGATGAGGAAATAATTTACTCCATACATTTCAGTGTCTTGTGCAATTTTCAGGTACTCCATTTCAGCCTCATCTCTGAGAGAAAAAAAAAGAAAAAGTTACTTATTTTGACCTGTTAAAAATAATATTTTCGCCATTAATGTGCTGTTTCCCTTCTTTACCTGGTGCGGCCTCGATGCTCGGCATACCATGCAGTAATTCTCTCCTCCCACATCTCAGGAGTCATTTGGTACAGGTTTATCACCTAACAAAGACATATGCAAATGTATCTTTAATTGTTCATTAGAAAAAAAGAAAGAAAAAAAATGCAAACCATGGCAAACTAATTATGTTCGCAAAACACAAAATGGATTCAAAATAAATGGTGCCTTCTGGCAGGGCCGTAAACTATTATTACATGCACAATATAACAAGCACTTCAAACGCTTCTGAATAGATACAGCATGCTCACCCTCTTTGGAAGCAGCTCCTCTTCAGCTAAAAAGCCACGTTTGTGTACAGAGGCATCATAATCTCCATACTAAAAGGAGACGAGATACAAGATTAGCAACCAGAAGCATGTTCTAAAAGGAAATTAGGGAAATTTTTTTGAAGTATATTGATTGCATCAATTAATACAACATGAGAATTCTGTGTCACCGTAATACTTACCTTGTAAATGATGACTACAGTATTTAAAACCATGTATCGGTATTTATAACCAGACATTTATGGGGAAATCTAACTGACACTAGTGACCGTGGCCTGTTGGAACGTATTAAGAATTCATAGGATAAGTAGAAATACCGACACATTTGCATGTTTTATCTTTCCTGTAGTGAATTTTCCCAAAGTAACAAAGCATCTGTGTAAAAAAGTCAAGATGCCAAGACATCCTCAGGTTAAAACAAGTCTTCCATGCACACTACACTATTCAATTAGTAAAGAATAACCTGCTATACATACGATCACACATTCAGATAAGTACTTTAGCAAATATATATATATATTTTTTTGAGAAAGGGAGGTTCTCCCAAAAGCTTGTCATTACAAAAATCTGTTTGTCCAATAAAAAAGGTATTACAAGATACCAATTGTATCTGTTTTTTTAATATATATATATATATATATAGATAGTTTCGCAACTCTATAGTTTATAGTGTCCTTTTAACTATCTAGATGCCCCCCAGTGAAGGTTTGAAAGGGGAGTATTATTTACCTTTCAGCACATGCCGCGCTAGTCTTCTTGCTGCTGGTCCTGCATCTTTAGCGGAGATCATCGATGTCCCCCACAGGTAAGCACAGGGAGCTTAGTGCACATGGAGACAACCACTAGAGGTATATTAAACCTGCAATATAAACACTGCCTTTCTGAAACAATGGCAATGTTTTACATTGGAGGCTTAAACAGACGGGGTTTAACCCCTTAAGGACGGAGCCAAATGTACACGTTGTGAACGAAACAAAATGTAAACAAAACCTGGCATTTGCGCTACATGTCTGTCCAACCGTAATTCACCTCTTTCATAGTAAATGCACCCATCCTTATTATATATCATTTTATTCAGGAGAAACGGGGCTTTCATTTAATATCAAATATATAGCTATGAAACATAATTTAATATGAAAACAATGGGAGAAAATTAGATTTTTTTTGTTCTACATGACATTTTAACTGTCAATGTCATAATACGATTTGCTTTTACTGCAATAAAATACACATATTTGTATTCAGCAAAGTCTCACGTGTAAAACAGTACCCCCTATGTACAGGTTTTATGGCATTTTGGGAAGTTACAGGGTGAAATATAGCACGTTACATTTTAAATTGAAATTCGCCAGATTGGTTACTTTGCCTTTGGGACCTTATAGTAGCCCAGGAATTAAATTTACACCCACAATGGCATACCATTTGCAATAGTAGACAACCCAAGGTATTGCAAATTGGGTATGTTCAGTCTTTTTTAGTAGCCATTTGGTCACAAACACTGGCCAAAGCTAGCGTTAGTATTTGTTTGTGTGAAAAATGCAAAAAACGCCAATTTTGGCCAGTGTTTGTGACTAAGTGGCTACTAAAAAAGACTGGACATACCCCGTTTGCAATACCTTGGGTTGTCTACTATTGCAAATGGTATGCCATCATAGGGGTAATTTTCATTCTTGGGCTACCATAGGGTCTCAAAGGCAACGTAACCAATCTGGAGAATTTTAATGTGAAAAAAATGAAACGCAAGCCTTATATTTGACGCTGTAACTTTTGAAAACACCATAAAACCTGTACATGAGGGGTACTGTTGTACTCGGGAGACTTCGCTGAACACAAATATTTGTGTTTCAAAACAGTAAAAAGTATCACAGCAATAATATCGTCCGTGTAAGTGCTGTTTGTGCATGAAAAATGCAAAAAACGTCACTTTTACTGGCGATATCATCGTTGTAATACATTTTACTGTTTTGAAACACTAATATTTGTGTTCAGCGAAGTCTCCCGAGTAGAACAGTACCCCCCATGTACAGGTTTTATGGTGTCTTGGAAAGTTATAGGGTTAAATATAGTGCTAGCAAATTAAATTCCCTTTACTTTCGGCATGGGTTGTCAGGCAGGTCCCGCTAATTGTAATAAATTAAGATACCTAATTATGTAAAATATTATACATAAATATATATGTAGAATTAATATATGTATATATATACGTATGTGAATCTATATGTGTATATATATATAATTTTTAAAAAATATTTTTATTTATATATAGGTATATATATAGTGATATATACGTATATATTTATGTATATAGATATATATATTATTTCGTTCTACGTGTATTTTGATATAAATATATATATATATATATATTAATATCACAATACAGTTAGAACGAAATAACACACATTTATATATTTTTTTAATTTTTTTATTTTATTTTTTAACGTATTTACATATTTAATTTTTTATATTATATATAAATATATATATATATAACAATACGTGTAATTTGAGATATATATATATATATATATATTTATATTAATAGTAAAATACACCTAGACAGTGTATGTGTGTGTATATATACATACTAAAAAATATATATATATATATATATATATATATATATATATATATATATATATATATATATATATATATATATATATATATATATATATATATATATATATATACTTAGATCATATATATATATATATATATATGATCTAAGTATATATATATTTTTTTTTTACACTTTACTTTTTAATTAATTTTATTTTAATTTCATTTCCAGCCAGCAGGGGGACCACCTGTCATTACAGGCAGCCCCCCTGCTGGCAATGCAGGAGGCAGCTACCCCCGGCCATGTGATTGTGGGGTCCTTGCAAGGACCTCACTCTCACATGGCCGGGGGGCACCGTAGGAAGAGGATCTACTGCGGGCCCAACTGCGATCGCCGGCGAAAAGACCGGAGGGCGTACAATTACGCCCGGCGGCATTTAGAGCCGCCTAAAATAGGGCGTAATTGTACGCCCTCCGGTCTTAAGGGGTTAATATGTCTGGTTACATTATGCCTGCACCAAACATTTTCAGAATGCTTGTGGAACTAGTCATCTGTCCTTTATCTCTGTGACTACTTCACATTAGCATAAGTAGAAATATCTAACTATAGTCCCTTGCTGTGTCATTCATCAAGCTGAAAACTATTCCTAGAGTTATTCATTAAAGCATGTATTGTCAGGAATTACTATTGTTATTTATTGACAAATTCCATATTGGTGGCCTAATAAACAAATAGTGCAATATAATAAAGAGAAGAAAAAGGCTGCAATTAAGCAATACATCGCACACATGAAAAAAAATTTTTTTTAAATTGACATATCTGAAAGGCCTATTTTAATTCTTTCATGGGTATAGGTGGCGGTTGGACGCACCTTTGCTTGTACAGCATATGATGCCAATAACACAGAGGCTTCTGGGGGGCAATAGATTTTCTCATCAAGTATCTGCTTTTTCACCTAGAGAACAGAAAGAATATAATGGTTGGCAGAGGAAAGAGCGTTTATATACTGCGAAGAAGAGACAGAGGATAAGATTGTGTATTTTAGGTAGAGGAATGACATAGAATGACAGTGTCAATATATAGCACAGGAATTATAAAGTATAAGCGTTTTTATATACAGCACAGCAGAGACTGTAATAAGTGGGGGGACTGATTAACAGCCAATCTGTATTTCAATGAAGTGTTATTGTGTTCTAATACAGGAATTCAAGCCCCATTCTACCCTTAGGCAATAATGGAGTCCTCTGTGAGCACATGGCCTTTAACAAGGCAAAACCAGTTAAGTTGTTGCTAAACAACTCCTCCATTCCCTTCCAGGGCAATCGCTCTTCCCTGAGGAGTCACTCTGGTTCTGTTAGATCCTAAGGGATTGACTGAAGGAGGTGGGTCTAGCAGAAGGAAGGGCTAACCTATAACACATTTCTCTCTCTCTTTAAATTTCAACTCTCCTCACCCTCTCTTTCTGTTCCCTGTCCCCACTATACACACCCCCTCTCTCCTACTATCAGCTGATGATCAATGGAGTGGTAACGTTATCATGTGTCTATGCTATGTTATATTTTCACTATGTTAATTTAGTTTACTTTCCATTCAATCATTGACTAGTTTTGGTAGCAACATATACTAGCCTAATTCAAATATATATGTATTGTTTATTTGTTTGATAGCCAATTAATAAATAATATTGAATTGCCAAAAGCAAGGAGTGTAGACTCTGACTTTACACTCGATTTCTAAGTTATTTTTAGTTATTAATTTTATTATTAGTTCCATACATTTACTTCAGAGACATAGGATGAAAGTAGTACCTGCAGGAAAAAGAGATGTTGTGTTATCTCCTGTACTAGCTCCTCTTCTACATTTTCAGGGTAGAATTTGGCAAGAAAATGAAAGGTAACGGGTTCTTCTTTAGGAACATCATGATCCAGAACCTGTAGTAAAAGAAAATAGGAAATGTTAAAAGAGGTAAAAAGCACTTTAGATCCGAAATTAGTATAATGTCAGTTTTCTTACCTTTTTATCCATCTTGAGCCATGCTATTGTATCTTTGATTGTGTACTGAAGCCCAAAGAACCATGTTTCGCGTAGTCCCAGAGTACGACATACCAGGTCAAACAGGTCCTTCCCTTTCCACTTGACCTGTGAATTCAAATACATTGTGTAAGAGACTATAAACAGCAGTCTGGAACAAGTCATTTAGCCCGTCACTTTTCACATATGAATTAGAAAGGTGTACATAACTATAGGGTTCACTATGTTCTTTGACTACAGATCCCATACTTCAATACCGCCAATAGCATTAGAATGAAGTTTGGTTAAAAAAAGAATAAGGGTTATTCATGAAGTCAAAAAATTAGGAATTATTTATTTTAATGCTCTTCAATGATCAAAACAGATTGTATTCATAGAAGTCAATTACGTTCCAAAGATAAAATGATATAAACATTTTCTTAGCCTTACTAAACTGAAAGCTTTCATTTTTGTAAACAGAGGTTTCAAAGCAGTTTCAGATATTCAAATTGTCTTAGGTTAAAGTTACTTCCCAGCTAGTTCTTATTCGCTTTTAGACAGCTGAATTTAAACACATTACTATGACAACATAGGATTTTTAACACAGGCAAAGGTTTGTGCAATGTTGCATTGGCATGGTTACTTTGCAGTGTAATTGAAGCAACAAAGTATCACCAAATACCTGAAAGAAATCTACATATAACAGTCACAACTGTGAAAATGACATTTCCTCACTCACTACAATAAAAAGATGGTATTGAAGTGAATACAGGAATGAGCACTGTTAATAGCAATAAAAATAAAATTTAAAAAAAGTTTATTTCCAAAGCACAGTGACATCATCTCCTCATAATAATAGCACGGTTATATACCTTATGGAGAATTACAATGAGACGGGCATTAAATTAACCCCTTAAGGACACATGACGTGTGACATGTCAGGATTCCCTTTTATTCCATAAGTTTGGTCCTTAAGGGGTTATAATTGTATTCTGTCTGTGCCAAAACAGCCAGGCATACAACGTAAAATAAAAACAAAGTTAAACACGTGCAATAATAATAACTGTGACATTTAATTTAATCTATATCCATCTTTTGCAGGTTTTTTACAGGGATATTGCTGGATTTTTAACCTAATCTCCTTTCTCCAGTAGCGTTGTAAGGGAAAACAAGTAAGCATCTGGAATATTACATACACTTACATAATTATGTGATTTAAGGGAATAGTTGCAATGACACATCACATGAAAGGCATGGAGATGTAGTTGATATGTCATACTAAACAACATGTTTTTCACCCCTGAGGGTATTAAATGGTGACCTGATTATCATAGAAGTATTCTCAATGGCATCACCAAACTAGAATACATATGCAATAAAATATGCCAACACATTCTAATCATGAATGGCTATACATAAATAATTTTAAAAAGATTTTACAAGCAGCCATGGTAAAGTACATCTCTGATAAATAGAGATCACTCTTATGCAGACATTTTAGGAATGATTTCTGATTTTGAGAGTGTAAAATCCAAGTATAAATCACATTGTGAAACCACTTGGGCTTCAAAGAATAACGGGAGTAGTCACCATTACGTAAATAGGGATAATCTGAAATATTTAAACATTCCACTAGAAAATTCCTGATGCCCTGGCTATACATGAACATTGTATGTAGAAATCTAAACTGCTTTTAAATATGAAAGTATTTTAAAGCAAAAATACCCTTTATTGCACAGTGAACAGTCACCACATCACAGGGGAAATCCATTCCTCTGCAGATAGATACACAATGTGTACAGTTATTGTGTATTTACATGCAGGGAAAGTACCTTCCTTCCATTGTCTAAATATATTCGATTTAAACATAAAAAAAACAAAAACAAAAACACACATATTGCAATATTTTAATCTTTACTTCCTTGAGAAAGATTCCAGCTGAAGTATTGGGGATGTATCACTTCTGTGATCTGCTGTTATAAACTAAGTTTAGGATAGCATAGATTAGATAGATATTTACTGTGCATATGAAAATAGTTTCTATAAAAGAAATACTCCATGCACTATAAAAACATATGATCTGTGCACATAATATGGCAACAACAAGATCCCCTATATCTTTCCCTTTACATATCCAGCTTGGATAGACAGGTATGCTGAGTAGGATTACAGCTTTGTCCAGCTTTCCCAAAAGTACAATGGAAAAATGGGACAATGGGAAATCTCAGGCATTTTATGATTCCTTGAGAAACTTCAGAGATCATTAATTCCATTAATAACGTTAATTAAGCTTTTGCATCTCTTAATTCATTAATCTTCACAAAATTAAGAACAGATTCACCCCTGAGTATCACTTTACAGTATCTTGAGATCCAAAGAGTGTTTTTTAACAAATGTCTTATGTTAATGTTAATATAAATCTATTCTTTATTATAATTTACTTAGGTATTTTATTTTAAACAAAGTATGGACACTTTGACTACAGAACTTGATAAATGTCTACAGTATTTGGGAGAAGAAAAAAAAAATGTTCATTAATAAGTACAAATTAGTCATACTCTCAGGTCTTAATCCATAATCTTTCACATACTCACATCTAATTAACAACATACATAAAATAGTTCTCTCTTAAATACCATAATTCACAAATCCACATGTCTGTTCCTGGTGCTAGTGGTAGAGTCTACTGTCCGTGCATGCAATGACATCAAAGACAACTTCTTAGAAACTCCTCATTTCCAGCACAACATCCAGACTGACAGAAACAATATAACCACATCTTCTCGAGGCACTCTGTCAGAATGCTGTACAGGAAAGCAAATAGATCACAGGACCTTTTTGTGCTTACACAGCAAACAGAGACAGCCACTGCCTTGCAGATCATGTGTGCTGATCCTGGGAGATCTACGGATCTCCCCTAGTAAGCAAGAGATGAATTTGTAGTTCTTACGGCAGTCTGACTCCCAGAAATGCCAATCCATAGGATAGAAAGATCCCATCAATCATTTCACAATTTTGTATTTTCTGCATGTGCAAAAGAACAAAATTGTAAGTGAGGCTGGCAGGTGATAAAGTGCAGAGCAAGGGTCTGAAACGGGCACATCACATGTGATTCAGGGATATTATCCATTTTATTTCCCCTTAACCACAGCAGGTGTCACCTACCGGTGTAGATGTTTGATACCTACATCAGTTTGACAGAGAAACAAGAGAAAGGGCCACACACAGCCTTCTAGCAAACCAAGGGCATGGTAATGATTATTATACTGAGTTTGCACTATTAAGCTTCAACCTTTTCAAAATCAAACCTGCAACCAGAGTTTATTATATGGCAAGATCAATAAAACAAAGCAAGCTCATTTTATCTTCTTTAACCAATTATATTTTGTTTGCCCTAGTTAACTATTGTTTTATTTAAAGCGACTTTGTCACTTTTGAGCTTTTCATTGTGAAAAATTCTGTTTGACTATGTTAACATTTATTAGAAAGTACAGCACAAACAAAATATATACATGAGACAAAGTAGGAACTAATTTGCCTCATGTAACTGGCAATTTTTGGCAGAGTTGAATTTCCTGTGCCATTTCCCATCATCCACTGGTTGCAATGCCTGATATGAAAAGGCATCAACTCAAGTGATTCCTATACATGCTTATAGACACCTTTCTGCACATGTCAAAAACTATCTATGGAAGATCATGTGGATTTTGTTAGATGAAGTAACGGACAGCCGGTGAAATATTGCTTCAAGAATATGACAGCACCAAGAATGGAAAGCTTAAAGTAAGTATATCTCCATTATCTACTCACCTTGGACACCTCCACACAAGCAAAAACGTCACCTTGTGGGGTGGAAGTTGAACTACTTAACACTGCACAATATTTTAACATTGAAAAAAGCCCTATAGTCACTGTGAAGAAATCTCCTTTTGTTATATTATATATATACTCACTGCATTCCCTTTTTTACACTATTTCTGCCCATTGCATTCGGTAGATATAACTACTGGCTCATACTCTGGCTCATTAAACATCAAAGTTTGGTGAAATTGCTACCTCTGTCTGTGCGGCCAGCGTTCGTACAGATGAACGCCACGTGGCAAAGAAAACCGCGGCCATCTTTGTTCATGCGAACAAAGACAGCGGGACCTGGTCGTCGAGTGCATGGAACTGAAAACGGACACTCGACTTCCCAAACAGACGAACGCTGGAACTCTATTTACCGAATAGCTAGGAGAGCGCTATTCGGTACTTTGGTGTATTCGACAGAGGGACACGAACGCTGCTAGGAGCCAGAGGGATCCATTCGGTACTTTGTTAGTTTTTCTGCTATTTCGAAAGTGACCGGCAAAACCCACCAAATTCATGGAACTGTTTTGGGCATACAGCCCAGGGTGAGCCGGTCACAAGAGACTTCCATAGTTTTTGCGAACCCCTGAACCGATCTGGGTGAAATTCGGATATGTTGGTCACCCAGATCAGGGCTATCAGGGGTCATATGATTTATGGGGATACCCCAAGTATAAAGGGGTGTTCCAGTTATTGGGGAAAAAGGTGATTTTTCAGCCCGGAGATAATTAGGTTAATAGTTTATCAGACTGAATTATCTCCTGGGCTAGGGGAGGGAACTGTGGGTGTGTGTTAAAGTTTTACTGTATGTGATTGGTTAATGTTTGTCCCTCCCTGAGGGCTGTCCCCTTGCATGGGGACTTGCATAAAAGCTGTGTGCACCCATTAACGGCCAGTTCATTTTGTACCCTTCTTCTTGACTTCGACTGATGTTTGGGGATTCGTGTGTTTCACTAAGGGAATCATCTGGTGAAGCTGTGGGAATTACTATTGGATTCGTCTACCCTATCTACCGAACAGAGAGCTATAATCACTGAGGCTCTGGCGGTTCGGGAGGAAACTACTGAATAGGTTTAAATATACTTGGTTTCCTTACAGTCACTATACCTTATTGTGGTAGTTATGGTGAAAGGAATCTTTAGGGGCCATCCATTTGTTTTTTAGCAAAACACAGAACAGTAGTTTTACAAAATTAGGGTCTTTATCGGCACAACAAGCCTGTCATCTCAAATGCCCACTTGATAGTGCCAAAGTTCCACTTGCACATTATCCTTCTAGTTTTAGCTAGCAATAACATGCTGTGATCAGCCTAACTTGGGAATGGTTAAACAAATGACAAGAGAATTTTAACATTTTTAAACTAAAATTTTCCAACTTATCTATTTCTCCAAAAGTTTACAATGCTCAAGTCAATTCTCAACAATTCAGAGTTTAGCAAATAAGTCCTGCAGTTTTATATCCCAGAATTGTAAAACCATGGCTAATTGAATATGGGGGCATTTATCCAATCTAAAGTAATGATGCATGTGCACGACTTTACTGTAGCATACAGTTAAATCTATTAACTGTACCAATTTAAACAAAAAGGTGGACCAGAAGATCAGGTTGCAGAAAGAACTTGGACTTGGAGCTAGATTGCAGATGATGTTTTACTGGCAACCAGAAAGTGAGGAGTGACATGATTTAAAATAAAACCAAAAGGTTATATATTTTTGTACCTCACAGTTGAACTCCATCTCTGCATCCATTGTGATTATTCTGACGATAAAAGTTTTGGGCTGTTTCCGTTTCAATGAGGAGAAGCTCATTCTTGATGCGATTGCTCCAGCCATGTGAAAATATGATCTTGAATTCTTCAAAATCCTGAATTTGCAGTCCAAATAAAAACTCCTCCACAGTCAATGCCCTGTCACACACAGAATGTCTCCTCATCCATCTTTAGAATGTGTCTTCAATAAATGATATAAGGCTTATGGCACAAAATGTAGTTCACAGTTAGTCCCCTTTTTGCTCCATAACAATTGCTGATGATCACTTTTATACTTAAATATTCCCTTTTTTCAGGTGTTATCTCTGGCTGAAAAACAAGAAAGTAAAGAAAAACAATTAGTATAACGAAGTTTCAGTTTAACCCCTGTTCCAAAAAAAAAAAAAAAAATCGCCTGGATCACTAACTACTTTAAATTACACATCCCATGAAGCTTAGCCCTTTTTTTTGGGAGGACTTCACATTATTAGAATCAGAGTAAACAGCTGCTGATACTCAAAAATATTACCGACTCCTACATGGTCACTAACAATCTCATTTATAAATATTTAAGGAATTGTATCTCACAAATAACTGGTTTATCTAGCTTAAATTTGTTTAGCTGTCCTTTAAATTAATATCAAGTTTCTGTATGTCTTTCCTTAAAAGTAGGGATTGTTTTATTTCTGGATGACCCTCTTTCAGAGGCGTAAGTGATCTATTTTTCCTAATCACACAAGCTGTTGGTTTCTCCGCTCAAAATAATAGAGGGTTTATTTACTTAACACACAAGGAGGAGCTTTCTACCACCAAAGGTGTAATAACAAAGAGCCTTACTTCTCTTAAACATAATGAGAAGGATACAATTTCCAAAAGCACCATTTTTTTACTGAATACATATCACTTATTCATAACAAAAGGACAGCACATGAAATGAAAACCCCAGTCATATGTAATATTCATATACAGCATGGTCTCTCTGTGGTCAAAGATCCTATTTCCTTCATGCAGCATATTACTGCTACATATTGCATACTGGGGAGTTGTTACAGATGCTGCCCATCATTGCGAAAAAAGAGACATGCATCCATGAAAACATGAGGAATATTGCAAATTTAAATCATGAGTTGTGTAAGTTGAGCTCTCTTTCTCTTCATTCGGCACACGCTGGTGGGGAGCAGTCTCTGTCTCTCCTCATCCAGCACACCCTAATGGGGAGCAGTCTCCCTCTGCATCCAGCACACACTGATGGGGATCAGTCTTTGTCTCCCCCTCTCTTATCCAGCACACCCTGATGGGGAGCAGTCTCTCTCTGCATCCGGCACACACTTATGGGGAGCAGTGTCTGTCTCTGTTTTCATCCAGCACACAGTTGTCTCTCTGTTTCCTCCTCAAGCACACCCTGATGGAGAGCAGTCTATCTTCCTCTATGACACACACACTTGATAACTATCTCTGTACCACAAACACAGTTTAGAAGCAGTCTGTCTCTCTCTCTCTCACACACACACAGTTTAGAAGCAGTCTAACACACAATTTAAAGCAGTCTCTCTCTAACACGCACAGTTTAGAAGCAGTCTCTCTCACACAGTTTAGAAGCAGTCTCTCTCACACAGTTTAGAAGCAGTCTCTCTCTGTTTAGAAGCAGTCTCTCTCTGTTTAGAAGCAGTCTGTCTCTCTCAGGTTAAAAGCAGTCTGTCTCTCTCAGGTTAAAAGCAGTCTCTCTCTCTCAGGTTAAAAGCAGTCTCTCTCTCTCAGGTTAAAAGCAGTCTCTCTCTCTCAGGTTAAAAGCAGTCTCTCTCTCTCAGGTTAAAAGCAGTCTCTCTCTCTCTCAGGTTAAAAGCAGTCTCTCTCTCTCAGGTTAAAAGCAGTCTCTCTCTCAGGTTAAAAGCAGTCTCTCTCTGTCTCTCAGTTTAGAAGCAGTCTCTCTCTCTGTTTAGAAGCAGTCTCTCTCTCTGTTTAGAAGCAGTCTCTCTCTCTGTTTAGAAGCAGTCTCTCTCTCTGTTTAGAAGCAGTCTCTCTCTCTGTTTAGAAGCAGTCTCTCTCTGTTTAGAAGCAGTCTCTCTCTGTTTAGAAGCAGTTTCTCTCTGTCTCTCTGTTTAGAAGCAGTCTCTCTCTCTGTCTCTCAGTTTAGAAGCAGTCTCTCTCAGTTTAGAAGCAGTCTCTCTCTCTCTCAGTTTAGAAGCAGTCTCTCTCTCTCTCAGTTTAGAAGCAGTCTCTCTCAGTTTAGAAGCAGTCTCTCTCTCTGTCTCTCAGTTTAGAAGCAGTGTTTATTACTATACAGAGTGCCTCCTCTGTCTCTGTAGTGATATATCCGTACAGTCCGCTCCGTGGCTCACTCACCCTCCGGCCGGCTGCTGGCTCACTCCATCCTGTGAGTACAATGGGTCCTCCAAGCAGCTCCCAGCCTGGCTGACCATCAGTTAGGCCCACATACACAAACAAGCAACTTTCACTGCCATTGGCTCACAGCGCCCCCAATCACCAAGGACAAGCCCAGAGCAGGCCGAACCCTGAACGCTGATTGGTTGTTTGGCGAACGGAATGGCAACGTTCCACATGCGTACTTCTTTCCTGGATAGGATTTGTCTCCTCACCCTTCCCTCTGTGTGGAGCGCCCTCTACTGGATGCCAGTTCTAGAATCCAATACTATTGATACCGGAGAAACTGATGGAAGCAAAGCACAGAGGGATGGACACAGGTTTCTTCAGGAAGGAAGAGATTCTTTATTGGATCACCGATCGGGACTCAGAGGGACTAATGTCACCAAAAATACAGCAAGTTCTGAGCCCTGAACAATAGTGCAGGCTCCCTATATAGGCACATAACTCCTCCCATATTAAGCTCCACCCGCACATTCTCTTGACCAATCATTACAAATAAGAATTAACTTCCTGCTTGACCGCATGGCTTGTCCAGCACAATGGAGGAGGGGAATACTACATCCTGTATTCTTGCACATGCTCCGTACACTACTGATCGTATCTTGCCTCGTGCAACCAACTGATCGATACGTCAGCATATGCACGTACACATGCCACGTGGTAATCTCGGCCTACTAAATTTATTTTTACCGAGATTCCACCACATTCCCCCCTTTGATGCCTCTTGATATTTTACAATTACTTGAGGCATCACTTAACCTTGGTTTGCATACACCACAAGTTACCTTTGAACCAGACCAGACTTATCCTATGATGTGAATCTTCAACACTCGTCTTCCTGCATTGGTTCTCCCTGATCTAGAGCCTTATATTTATAAATTGCCATTATCTGTGCAGCAGCCTTCCTCTCTGCTATATTTTCTATCAGGCTTTGCACAGACCTAACTACTAAGGGTATAAGACACGGCAGGAGTAGACACAACATTAAAATCAGTAGGACTCCACCTACCACTGCCTTAAGCCCTCCAAACCACTCATACCAGCTACCAAACCAACTACTTGGATTGTACCCTTTCCATACCTGAGTAGGCACATGCGCTAGTTTAACCATATGGCTAGTAAGCTCAGCTATTGCTTGCCCTTCGTCATCTATTTGAAGACAGCAATTGCTCAGGTTAAACTTCCCACATACACCTCCCTCTACTGCCAAAAGATAATCCAAGGCTAATCTATTTTGGTAAACTGCTGTTCTCATCCTGGTATTATGCTTCGCTAGAAGATTGAGCGCTTGTGATGTCTCGTTAGTAATGATCTCAACCACCGCCTGTAACCTTATAATGCGGTTGAGCATATAAATAGGGGTTCTATAACCAAAGGTACCATCCTCTGCCCACGTGGCTGGCCCATAATAATCTATAATACGCTGGGGAGGCCATTCATTATCTTCCCAGGCACCTATCTCTATGGGTCCCCTTTTCTTCCTATGATTCACATCATACACTTTAACACCTAAAGTCTCACCTGTTTCAATAGGCAACAAGAAGAAGGATGGTTTTAACATACCCAACACACATGCCCCTTCCCAGTCCTGTGGTAACTCCGAATAGGCCTTCTTACCACAGATCCAGTACAAATTCGCTGGGGCTCTCCAGTTAGATGTGATGGATAGATCAAACCATACGTCCTTTAAATTGGCATATCTTGCAAACGGGTTAGATGGTTCTGAGACATTTGAAGCCGACCACCAAGTTGTATTCTTTGTATCATCATCATAAGCTTTTTGCCCTAGACAAGTTAATTCTCCTACAGAAGTATTATACATCATTCCTTTCCTCGCTATGCAAACATAACCTATGATGGAGGTCTTCAATCTCCACTCAGATTTACCTCTAACACTCATATGATAGTCGGCTTGTGTAGATATTAATTGGTCAACTGCCTCAGAACCGGACATTACCTCCTTTGCTTCCCAAGGCCATTGGTCTCCCATGTTAGTACCTCCACACACATAGCAGTTGGTAACATTAAGACTACCGGCAATACTCTCGGCTAAATCAATGAACAAGTTTTTAGCATTATGGGGGATCTTATTATCTATGCTCATCTCTTCATAAAAGGAATGGTATACTTGATGAGTTTGGGAGGTTACCGTATCAGTCTCTATCCCTATAAACAATATTGTCCCAGGGTCTAAACCCGTCCCATATATTTGAAACCCAAATAAATTACCATATTTATCTAAGAACTTGTCAGGGTTATTTATAAGTATATGGATTGGATTGCATTCCATAGACTTACAATATGGATTAGTAGGCAACTTAGTCACAATCATGTCCTTGTCTGCTGTCTGTCCCCAAGTCGCCCACCCCACACAAGACCAATATGGGCAGAAGTTATAATCTCTATTTGGGCATCTTGGACTTACATATTTATTTTTACTACTGGGACAAATATATTTATCGTTAGACCCATACGTCCTCTCCCATCTAAGATCCCCACATACATTCCACGGCTTTCTACCACTTGATATTGCTTTACACGCATCAAATAGCAGAGCACCTGAAGAATATACGGATTCTAATACCGTCTTATTAATTAGGGTCCCCTGAGGATCTCCATTTCTGAGAGTCAACCAAATTGTACGGGGTTGATACTCAGGACTGAAGCACTTAGGTTCTCCTACTCCTAAATGACACACACTATATTCTATATTTAAGTATCTACATCTTGATACATCTCCTTTACACTCATATTGCGAATGCCAAATTAGGGTCTGGGATATATGGTTACCTGTTCTTGTAGTCTTAATGCATACCTCACAGCTAGGAGTGTCGGTACCTCTACCTTCCTGAATATAAAAATACACATAAATAAACATTATTAAAAATACATCTTTCGTCGTCATCCTCAGTCTTCGTCCGTGCGAAGGCACCTCAGCTTCCAGGATGTAAGGGCTGCAGGGAATGGAGTTCTGCTCGTCTTCACAGGGGTCCCCTCAAGACTTTCCCTGACTTATACACTCGTTGGTGAGTGGACAGGCTTTATTATGGCCTTCTCACTCACTTACCAAGTCTCTGAAACAATAAAATTTGTAATCTACAAGGTTCCTCGTCACTCCGACTGAGTCGTGCGTTTTAACCGGATCTTGCAGGGATTCTCTGGATTTGCTGTAACTTGCCAGGAATCGGCTGCTGCTGGTTTAACCCTGGAGTGATGTATCCACGGAGCCACTTCGGCTACTTTTATCGCTGTAGGGGTAGACAGAAGAACAACATAAGGACCTCTCCACTTGGGCCCTAACGGCACATTATTCCACTCTTTAATCCACACTTGGTCGCCTGGGTGGTAACTATGAATTGGGGATAAATATTCACAGGTAATCTATCTTGTACCCATTTCTGTACCTCCTCCATAGTCTTACCCAACTCTACAACCTGCTGCCGGGTAATTCCTTCTCCCAACTGACTCAAATCCCCCCTTAAGTTACCAAGCACGGGAGGTGGTCGCCCGTACATGATTTCAAAAGGAGAGAGGCCCATCCTTCTGGTAGGTGTACTACGGATTCGCAATAGAGCTATGGGCAAGAGAACGTTCCACTTAAGTTGGGTTTCCTGACACATTTTAGCCAACTGATTCTTAATAGTTCTATTCATTCTCTCTACCTTACCAGAACTCTGGGGTCTATATGCCGTATGAAGCCTCCACTTTATACCAAGCATATGAGTCAATTGTTGTAGGCACTGATGAACAAAAGCTGGACCATTGTCCGATCCTATAGAGCAGGGTAGTCCATATCGGGGTATTATTTCTCGTAGCAGGAATCTCACGACTTCTCCTGCTTTCTCTGTACGAGTAGGACATGCTTCTACCCAGCCTGAATAGGTGCACACCACTACCAGCAGGTAGCGATGTCCACCCGATTTAGGCATCACTGTATAGTCAATTTGTAAATCGGACATGGGAAGTCCCCCCATAAACTGGACTCCTGGTGGCTTTACTGGTCCTTGTCTTGCATTATTTTTAGCACACGTTACACATCTACGTACAATGGCCTGAGTCAAGTTGGACAATCTTGGTATGTAGAAATGTTTTCTGAGAGATTCTTCTGTACTGTCTCTCCCAGAATGTGTCCCGTTATGATAGTTTTGGACAATTTCTACCGCTAGTGATGCTGGAATAACTATTCTTCCATCTTCTAACTGATACCATTTGTTCTCCAAATACTTTCCAGGTTCAGTCCTTAACCACTCCTCTTCTTGAGCTGTATAAATTGGAGTCCATTGAGACAGTGGAGTTGGTATAAGAGCAGCTATATGCCCCACATATTCCTGTCTTCCTGATTCAGCAGCACGCTTAGCTGCACTATCTGCCATCCGATTCCCTTTGGTTACATCACCATCTCCTCTCAGATGCGCCCGACAATGTATAATACCGACTTCTTTCGGCTCCCACACTGCTTCCAATAGTTGTAGGATCTCAGCTGCGTATTTGATTTCTTTGCCTTCTGAATTCAATAGTCCTCTTTCTTTATACAAAGCTCCGTGGGCATGAGTGGTTAAAAACGCATACTTGGAGTCCGTGTAGATGTTCACTCTTAAACCTTCAGCCAATTGTAACGCTCGTGTCAGTGCTATCAATTCTGCCTTTTGTGCTGATGTTCCTTTTGCCAGTGGCCGAGCTTCTATCACCTTGTCTATCGTTGTTACTGCATATCCTGCATAGCGGATCCCTTCTTTTACATAACTACTGCCGTCGGTGTAATATTGAACATCAGGGTTCTGGATGGGAAAATCACGAAGATCTGGTCTACTTGAAAATACTTCATCCATTACTTCCAAACAATCATGTTGACTTTCAGTAGGTTGTGGCAAAAGGGTAGCTGGATTTAAGGTATTTACAGTCTCTAAATGCACTCTTGGGTTTTCACACAACATTGCTTGATACTTGGTCATACGGCTGTTACTAAACCAATGATTTCCTTTGTAATCCAACAACGTCTGTACTGCATGTGGAACTCGTACATAAAGTTCTTGACCCAGAGTGAGTTTATCGGCTTCAGCTACTAGCAGGGCGGCTGCAGCTACAGCTCTTAGACAAGGTGGAAGTCCGCTGGCCACTGCATCCAGTTGCTTAGACATGTAGGCAACAGGTCT